TGCAGTCGGGAATACTGAAGTCGAGGATGTAAACGCCGTTTTCGGAGTGCGCTCGCCCGATCTGCTTGTGGGTCTTGTTCGGCATCGTGTAGTGGAGCAGGATGTCGCGTGTATCGGGGTCGGTGCTAAGGTCAACTCCGCAATCCATGAGTTGCACCGCCGAGAGGAGATTGAAGCGCACATTCTGCACGATCAGCACGTCGTTCAGCGTGATGTGTGTCCTGCTCCCTCGGGCCTTGAGCACCACGATTCCTTGCGCGCTTGCACGCAGGCGCGTGTTGTTCGCCACGGTGACATAGGTCACGGGGGGGGTGGAGACGGCGTTGGATATGTAACACTCAGAACCCACCATATGCTGCCCACAACAGCTATCCAGGTACCACGTGTTGTAGCGCCTGTTGTCGTTACGTGCGAGCAGCGCCAGTCGCGGGGTAACGATGTGCGGTGTGTCAAAATTGAGGAATTGCTCGCGCGAGATCCAATCGATCGGAGCCACCCGCTGATCAGGTACATGCGGGGGACTCTCAAGCAACGGGACTGGAAGATTCCAGTCCTGTTCATCGTCGTCGGTGAAGTCGTGGCGCGTGCTGAACGGATTGTTGTTCGAGAACGCTCCGATTGGGTGGCATGTTGGCTCAGGTGACGGTGAACGCGCGCGGGGACGACGGGATCCGCTCGTCATTGTCATGTTGCCCATGACATTGCGGACGGGGGCAGTCTGGGGCGACTGCTGCTGCTGATGCTGAACGGCTGGGTTCAGATTGCGCGGTGGGGGTTGGTGCCCCTGGGCTTGACGCGTGTCGATCCGTGCGTCTTGTCGGCCGGACCAGGTCCTCGGATTGGTCTGGCGAGGGCGAGATCGGAATTTACATCGATCTGTCAAGTGCCCAAAATTTCTGCAAATTTTGCAGTAAAGGCGGCCGTCGCTCCTCTGTGTTGTCGGCGTAGAAAGCGAGGCGTTCCCGGTCTCGTCGCAGCGCTGGTCGCTGCTGGTCCATCTCTGTTCGACGAGAAGGGCGGCGCATAGGGAGGCCTCCGAGATAACCCCCTGCTGTCGGAGAAGCGCCTTGCAGGGCCGCCACTCTGGGCCGAGCCCTTGAAGCACGATATTCACGAAAATCTCCTCTGAGATCGTGCTTCCCAGTCTCGCGATTTGATCGCGTAAGCTCCGACAGCGGTTGATGTAGCTGTTGGCCTTCTCCCCTGGGGCCATTTTAGTCTCCAGTAGCTGCTGGAGCAGGCGGCTCGATGAAACCGAGTCTTTCGGTTGGTACACGCCGTTCAGGTGGCGCCAAGCATCGAGGGCTGGAGCAGGAGTCGTCTGATACGAACGAATGCTCAACTGCTCCGCCGGCGACATATTCCGCAGGAGGACGCCGTTCGCCATCAACGACTCGTTGTAGTATTGCGCCTGGGCGTCAGCAGTATCCTCAGCGGGTCCCGAGTAGCTCCCGTCGAAGTAGTGAAATATCTGCGCGTTTTGCAGCAGTAGTTCCAGCTCGAAGCTCCACGTATAGAAGTCTCTGCTGTCAAAACATACACTTGTCTTTATTTTTATATGCTCAAAAACCTTGATTGCGCAGAGAGAATTGCTTCTTCGCTGGGACGGGGAGTCTTGGGTGTTGAGGCATTTGTGTTGAGGAAGAAGGTGTGCGGGGCGGTATTGTGGCCGTTCGAGGCCGGTTGAGTGGGTTGGGAAGATGTTCCCGCGTCGCCATTCCGCACTGTTTGGAGTTGTTGCTCCAGGCTGGTGAGTCGCTGAAGCATCTGTGCGAGGGTGGCGGTTCCAATCGTCGTCGTTTGCTCGCTTGTCGCAGCCGGGTTGGGCTGCGCTTCAGCCGTCAAATTCGTCTGACCACCAGATCGTCCGGCCATTCTCACACGCGAGCGTGTGCCTGACTCCACTTTCCGTTCGCCGAAGATTTCGGAGGTGGCAGTGCGAAGGATTCCCAAGTCGCTCTGATACCATGTTGCGATCAGGTGTTGATCGTGCCTAGGATCACCTTAGGAAGGTTCGCACACGTCTGAGTAGTGGTGGTGGGCCCTTGACCTCAATAGCAGAGTGGATGTAAAATGCTTGAGATGATAAAAACATGCAAGTACAAGAATAAAAAGAAGAGTACAAGGGAATTCGAATCGACCTAAGCTAGCCATGTACTCTAAGGGGTACATTCCCTTACTGCAGCGAAAGTCAACCGTGCGACTCCAGACGGTTAGAAACTGCCAGGGCAGAATCCTCGCCACTGCTGCTGCCTGATGCTGTCTGCCCGACGGTCCAGATCCTTTCGTAACCGTGCGACCCTTCGCGTCACTTCCGCCTTTACGTCTTCAGCCTCGGTAGTGCGTGCTTCGATTGCTGCGGTAAGGAGTGCACAGTAATGCTTCATCTTTTACTATTCGTAACAACATGGCCCCCCCACGGAGCCCTGGGAGTACCAGCTTCAATCGTTACACGCTACAAGTTTCTCATATCTTATAAACATAGTGGCTTTAAGACTCAATTTATAGTTATGTTAGCAGTAGTTTGTGTATGAGGGTCAGATACGATGCAACTGACTGGTGGATGGGAGACGTATGGGCGTAGGATGTCGTTATGATATTGTCGTAATATGACTCATTGTGCGAATCACATCGATTGGTGCGACATATGGTACAGAGCGGTACCTCCGCTTTGTGACACAAATGTCCAGACAGGAATGTACCTTAATAACAGGCAGAGTGCAATACCTTGATGATTCACGAACTACGTGGGACATGGTCGTTGTCAGAAACCGATGCAAAAGATGATCGCTGGTTATTTGTGGATGGTGCGTTTATTTACCCAACCGAAACAAAGGTGTATTCCTGTAGACATTAGAAAGTACACCCGAATGCGGCTGAAGAGGTATAGAAGTTAAGAATAGTTTGGTACAGTGTTTTGCAATAGCATACTTTGAGACACGCCATAACAGACCAGAACAAGAATTGCGTCCACTCATGCGAAATCTTGAATTTGGTGTCAGGTATTTTCGTTGGTGGACCAGCAGCAGGTCAGTGGTGTGGTGAGAAAGCAGCTCGCGCGTGAAGGACGAGGCTGGACATGAAGAATCACTGTTGCCGCTGCAACGTTTGTCGCGAACGTCAACGTCGAGCGATAACGTGGGCCGAGGACAGGTGGCGGCGAGCCAGGCGAAGAGTTGAGACTTTTCGTCACGCCATGACCATCCAGTCTCATCGCCAACAAAACACTGCCTGGAATGGCCCACTCTCGCGGTCCTCTGGCTTATTCGAAGCGCGCGAGAAATGATTGGTCAGAAGAGTCCCGCGCGGCAGAACTACATGGCTCACTGGTTCATGCAGGTCCCCGCCCGCTCGCATCGTGTATTGCAGGAAACCATTTTCATCCTCTCCGTCCATTGAGCATTTCCGCTCGATCCTAACCGTAATGTTTTCCTGTGCTACCCATCGCGGCCCACAATTTTTGTTCTTCCTATTCCTGCTGCATCCGCGGCATCATTTCTCTGGTGGCAAGCTTGAGGTAGAAACCACACATGGCGGTATGGGACGGATGTGCAAGCTTACTATTCGTTCTGCAATAACCGTCCTCACATGACGTGCCAATCTGCCACGACTTGGGTTCTTGTTTCCTGCAAACGCGTCTTGGTCATTTATGGTAGCTTCACACAGCCTTCTCGCGGTTCGATTCAGACGGGCAATCATGCACCCGAAGCCTTCGATTAGGATTTTCTTCGAGGGATCGCGACAAGCGCGGCTGCGACTCATACTCAGCAACACAGTCGAGAGATTAGCAGTCGAGACGTTAGCAGTCAAATCCGTGAGAACGATCCCAGGAACAGACTTTGTGTATCGCCGTTTGTACTAGGTTCAGTAATATAGAATTTCCCAAATCGAACGCGACGCAGCACTTGGCGATGGCGGGTGGCGGCGGCTGCGGCGGCGGCGACGGTGGCGGGCTCGTCTATAACCATGACGGCCATGATAACGACGACGACGAGCAGTTTGATCCGCTGCTGCAGCTCATTCAAACGTCGCGCATGTGGACCAAAGAGGTGCGCCTCGGCCGCGATGCGGACACGTTCATCCGCCTGTCGCGGCGCTCGCTCGTACTCCTCGTCCCCCTCCTTCCCAGATACTTACTCCTAGTAGCTACGGCTCCCCTCAGCAACTGTTCTGCCGTAGCGGGACAATGCAAGCTCGATGCGACAACGATTAGCGCATCATGTTGTTCTTGAGCGGTTTTCGTGTATCTTCATGTGTTTCTGAGAATCCACAAAGAGGCAACGATGCGGCAACGATTAGCGCATTGATCGTTCCGCGCCGCCGTCACCAGCAACGATGAGATTTTGTAGTCACTGCGCCGTCACCGCGCCGCGCGACTCAAAGAGCAGTATATTGCCGGCTCCTTGCGGCTCTGCGTCGACGCAACAGCACGTCGCATAGTCAAAGGCGGCGTGCTGCGCGTCAATCCCGCCGCCGCCTATCTCCGCGCCTCCGCTGCCTCCGCTGATCACCGCGGTCTGCCACCCCAACACCCCCACAGCGACTCCCTACTGCGGAAGGCGCGGTTTTATGCGGTGGGTAGCGGTTAGAATGAAGTTTTTGAATCCGACGAATAGTGCTAAACCTCCATCACCGCGCCCTCACCCCCTCCCGCGCTTCCGCGGCGCGCGGATGTGAATCTCCTCTGCCCCCTCCCGTGCGCCCGCCTGCGCTCCTCCTAGGACTCCCGCGCTTCTGCCCGCGCGCGCGGATGCGAATTTCCGTGGGGCGGGCCTTTGCGCCGTGCACGGGCGGCACTGCGCTGATTGTAGGCTCTTTCGCCGACGCAACGCCGCAACGTCGCGCGTTGCGTCGACCCTCCCGCCGCCTTTCCCAATTCGTTCCGCCGCCATTGCTTCAACGCATAAGTTCCCCGTCCCGCCGTCGTGTCGTGTCGACCCGCAAAGGGAACGATGATTGGCTTGTGAGAAGTCTCAAAAGTCGACCTCCAACAGGGAACGATGATTGGCGCAACTTGCGCCGCGCAAGCTACTACTAGGCGCCTCGAGACTCGGAATCATGAATGCTACCGCCGTCACCAGCAGGAGTCGGGCTTGCGCGTCGCGCGGAAGCGCGGCGTGACAAAAGGCCGTAATAAACGGCGAAGGGCGGAAGACGACGAAACTCATTTGAGCTCTCCGGCGCGTAACGACGTAGCTTCGTTTCTTAGGCGGCGTCGCCCCTCCTCCCTTCCCTCGCACGTGCATCGTGCGACGAGGGGCGTAAGCCATGTCTCCCCTCCCCCCTTCCCTCCACCCCAGCCTCCTCCCCTTCCCTCCTTCCTCCCTCCTTTCTTCTCCCTTACCTTCCAGAAGAACGCGGTTCCACAAAAGTGCTGCTGGCGAGGAGGGGCGTAAGCCATCTCTCCCCTCCTCCAACCTCTCTCCCTCTCCGTCCCCCCAACTCCACCTCTCCTCCCCTCTCCCTTCCCCACTTTCTCCCTCCTCTCTTCTCCCTTCCTCCCCCCACCCTCTCCCGCCTGCTCGCCGTCTTTGAGAATTCTCAAAAACACCCTCTCCCGCCTGCTCGCCGTCTTCAGAACAACGCGGTTCGACAGAGCCGCTGCGGACGAGGAGGTGAGTACATCATCCCCCCCTTTCCCCTTTCCCTTCCCCTTCCCCCCCCCTCCCCCTTCTCCCCTCTCCCCGTTTCTCTCAACCCCTTCCTCCATCCTGCGGTCCCCAGGAGGACGCGGTGTTGCTGCGCCACGCGCTGCGGGCGGGCACGAACCAGTGGGGCGCGCTGGAAAAGGGCGGGCGGGAAGCTCCCCCCCTCCCCCCCTTTCCTCCCCCAATCCCTCCCCTCTTGTTCCCACCCATCACCCCCCATCCCCCCTCAGGAGGACCGGTGTTGCTGCGCCATGCGCTGAGGGCGGGCACGAAGCAGTGGGGCGCGCTGGAGAAGAGCGGGCGGGATTCTCCCTTCTCAACAAGAAGAGTAACTCTTCCCCCTCCCCCACCCGTCCCCGCCCTTTTCACCTTCCCCCTCTCACAGGAGGATGCGGTGTTGCTGCGCCACGCGCTGAGTGCGGGCACGAAGCAGTGGGGCGTGCTAGAGAAGAGCGGGCGGGATGCTCCCCCCATTCCCCCCACCCCCTTCCCCAATCCCTCCCCCCTTGTCTCCCCAACCCCCATAGGAGGATGCGTTGTTGCTGCGCCACGCGCTGCGTGCAGGCACGAAGCAGTGGGGCGCGCTGGAGAAGAGTAACTTCTTTCCCCCAGCTTCCCCTTTCACCTTTCCCCCTCACAGGAGGATGCGGTGTTGGTGCGTCACGCCCTTCGTGCGGGCACGAAGCAGTGGGGCGCGCTGGAGAAGAGCGGGCGGCTACCCCTGCGCGACAACAAGGCATGCTGCAACCGCTTCATCTTCCTCAAAAAGTGAGCCGCACCGCTCTCAACCGCGCAACCGAGTTACCTTTCGAAAATTGTGCGCCGCAACTTCATCGCCTCTCCCCTCTCCCCTCGCGCCTCCCGCCTCTCCCCTCTCGCCTCTCCCCTCTCGCCTCTCCCCTCTCGCCTCTCCCCTCTCGCCTCCCCCCTCGCGCCTCCCCCCTCGCGCCTCCCCCCTCGCGCCTCTCGCCTCGCGCCTAGAGCGATTTCTTCTCTCCACGCTCATTGTCTCCATGCTTACTTCTCTCCACGCTTGCCTGTCAAGCTAGCAGCACAAACTCTTGCGAAAATTACACCATTCTTTCCCTCATCCCCTTATCTCCTCTCACCCTCCTCCCCGTTTCCTTTACCTTTTCTCCCATTCTCCTTCACCCTTCTCCCCTCTTCCTTTTCGTCTGCCCGTCCCATCTTCGTGGGGATTTTCCGATTTTGGTCAGGAAATTCGTGGAGATCCACCGAAAATGGCACCAATCGTCAGCCACCCCTGACCCGCAGTTCTGGGCCCAAGTGCAGCAGGAGGAGCAGGGGGGAGGAGGAGGGGCAGGAGGCAAAGCTTCTCGGAAGTGCAGCGGAGACGGAGCAACGGGCGGCAGCAGCAGCACGGGCAGAGGAACGGGCAGAGGAAGCCCTCCTTACGACCTCGGGTCGAGGCGGGCGGGCAGCAGCACGAGGGAAGGAAAAAAAGCAGCGAGCGGGCAGGAGCCAATGACGTTCGGACACCTGTCACTCGAGGCGTGTGACTGGCTGTTTCTGGGAAAGGGGGAGGCAAGAGAATGGGCGGAGTTGGAAGAAGGGGGGGGGAGTGACGCAGGAGAAGGGAGAGGGGGAGAAGGGGAGGAGAGAGAGAGGGGCGGAGGAGGGGAAGAGGAGAAGAGGAAACGGAGGAGGGAGGGAGGAGGGATAGGAGGGGAGGAGAGTGGAGGGGGGAACGGGGTGGGAGGAGGAGGAAGGGGAGGAGGAGGAGGAGGAAAGCCAGGGTCGTTGAAGGAAGAAAGTCGGATATCTGTGGGGCATGGTGCAGACTCGATGGCGTCAGGAGGAGGGCGAGGAGCAGGAGGGAGAGATAGCGGGCACGATGCGAAGCCGGAGATCAAAGAGATTTTCAAAGGGTGAGTGGCTGGACGCTGTTCTTTCTCCTATGCAAAAAGTGGTTTCTTTGCGAAGAAAAGTCATATCTGATACAAGATATATATATATATATATTATGCATATATATATATATATATATGCATAATTTATGTTTGTCTTTTGTGTAACGAGATGTTGAAGTAAGTCGTGCTGCGGTGTTGTGACTCACTCACTGCTTTGAACCTGCCTCGCCCTCCTCCATCTTCCTTCCTCCCATCCCGTTGTGGCAGGAAGAACCGCATTCTGGGAGAGCTGCTGCTGCGAGATTTCATTGAGAAACAGCACGTGGAGCAGCATGAGTGGATGGTGCAGCAGCAGCAGCAGCAGCAGCAGCGGCAGCAGCAGCAGCAGCAGCAGCAACAACAGCAACAACAGCAACAACAACAGCAACAGCAATGGCAGTTGCACCAACAGCAGCAGGAGCAGCAGCAGCAGCAGCAAGTTCAGCTACAGCTGCAGCTGCAGCAACTGAGGCAGCAACAGGAGGAACAGCAGCAGCAGGAACGACAGAAGCAGCAGGAACGACAGAAGCAGCAGGAGCAACTTAAGCAAGAGCAAGAGCAGCAAATGCAGGAAAGCTTGCGGCAGCAGCAGCTGATGCTGCTGCAGCACTTACAGCAACAACAGCAGCAACAACAGCAGCAACAACAGCAGCAACAGCAGCAACAACAACAACAACAACAACAACAACAACAACAACAACAACAACAACAGCAGCAACAGGCGCAGCAGCAGCAGAAGCTTGAAGCAATGGACACACAGCAGCGCCAGCTGCTGCTGGAGCAGCAGGTTCGGCTGCAGCAGCAGCTGCTGTTGCAGAAGCTACACGGTCAGGTGAATCTTCAGGAGCAAGCGCAGCAGCAGCATCAGGGGCACCAGGCAGATCAGCCAGGGTTGGAGCGTTTTCAAAATCAGCAGCAAGAGCAACAGCTGCTGCAGCGGCAGCAACAGCTGCAGCTACTCCAGTGGCAGGAGCTGCAAAAGCTTCAGCTACAGCAGCAGCAGCAGCAGCAGCAGCAGCAGCTTGGGCTGTTTCCAGACCCTACTACCCCATGCCATGCTGATACTTCTACAGTCCCCCTCCCGTTCCCCATCTCTTGTCTGCCTACCCTCCCCCTCTATAGCTCTTCCCTTCCCTCCACTCATCCCACCCCCCTCTCCCTCCCTCAGCCAACTTCCCTGCTGCCATACCAGCTGCACTCGAAACTTCCCGTGACAATGCCCCTTGCTCCGTCCAAGCCCGAACCTGTCACCGAACCTGCTACCACCGGACCTGCGTCGGCCAAACCTTCCTTTCCGAACCTCCTGTTCCCCTCCCTCCATATACCCTCCCATTCGCAACAACCACCACCACTAGCCTCTCCTCCTGCTGCTGCTTCAGTAGCACCAGCAGCACCAGCAGCAGCGACAGCAGCGGTAACACCAGCACCAGCAGCAGCAGCTTCAGATTCTGCTACTTTCACCTCACCCTTCCCTTCGGCATACCCATCTTTCCTCCCTTCTCCCTTCCTCTCCACCCCATCTACAACAGGCATGGTGACCGGCTTGTCTCCTACCCTGTCTGTTCCAGGTGCCCTTCGCATTGGTGCCACTGGTGGTGCTGCTGCTGGTAATGCGGATGGGGGTCATGCTGCTGCTCTTGCTGGTGCTGCTCCTATGGCTTTCGACAGTGCTCTTGCGGCGTTTATGCAGCAGCAGCAGCAGCAGCATGGGCAACTTGGTTTTCAGGCACAAACAGGCTTCGTGCAGGAAGAGAAACAGCTGCTGCAGCTCCAGCTAGAGCTTCAGGAGCAGCAACACCAGCAACAGCAGCAGCAGCAGCAACATCATCAGCAGCAGCAGCAGCAGCAACATCAGCAGCAGCAGCAGCAGCAGCAACATCAGCAGCAGCAGCAGCAGCAGCAGCAGCAACATCAGCAGCAGCAGCAGCAGCTACTGCCAGCGCAACTGCAACAGCAAATGAAACAGCAGCATTACCTTCTTGGGCTAAGCGAGCAGCAGCAGCAGCATCAGCAGCAGCAGCATATGCCGTCACATAAACCACCCTATGTGTTCTCCAGTACTGGTCATGGTTCCTCCAGTGTCTGGCATGGGGTGGGAGGGGCAGGCAGAGAGCAGGGCCTTCAGAAGCAGAACACTGGCAGCTGTGGCAGCCGCTGCAGCAGCAGCGGCAGCGACTTGGCACTTCCTGCCTCTGTGGCCCCTCCTATGGCACCAGGCTCTGAGCTCTCACCTGCAGCGGCAGCTGCTCCCTTTGTAGCTGCTTCGTTAGTAGCGTCTCCCTTAGTCGCTCCTGCCTCGGTGGCTCCCGCTGATACTACATTAGGAGCAGCAGCAGCACCGTCAACAACAGCAGCAGCAGCGGCAGCGGCGGCGGTGGCGGCGGCGGCGGTTGCACTGCCGGGTGAAGGGCTTGAATCTGGTGTTGACCCAGCTTCTGGAGCAAACAGGGCAATGGTGTTTCTGGGGAGCTTTGAGAGCTGCACTGGCGTTGAGGCCGTGCCCTCTGCTGCTCCAAGCCACCTGCACCAGATGCTGCTCATGCAACAGCAGCAGCAGCAGCAGCAACAACATCAGCAACAACAGCAGCAGCAGCAGCAACAACACTACCGGCAGCAACAACAACAACATCACTCACAGCAGCAGCAGCAGCAGGAGCAACAGGAGTAGGTAAATGACCAGAAGGAGCAGCAGCAGGCGTTTTCTCAGGTGCTTCCTGAGCAGCAGTGGTTGTTTTGGGGCGGGCAGAGTCGCGCCTGAGTGGACGTGGTTGTGGGTGTGGCTTTGTGGCTAATTGGTCTGGTGCTGGCTATTATAAGCAGCTGCTGCTGCTTGAGAAGTCTGGTTATTCCATTTAACTGATGCATGCCTGGCTTTGGATACTATTTGTAGAAGCATGGGCGTGGAGTGCTTGTTCAAATTTCATAAGGTTTAGCACGAGAGCGATGATTTGGCAACCAGCGTACACTAAAACACCAACAAGAGCGAGTACAACAGTGTGCGCCTGAAAATGTGCTGCTAAAAAAGTGTTGGGGGTTGATGAGTTTCCACCCATCAGTCGAGGTGGAAAATGGCACTAACTAGTGAATGAAGTCATGAAAATCCTAAGACACATTAATTTCCTTATAAAACTTCAGTCACTTGTATTGGTGTTGTGGAAATCTTCATAAAGTGAAATGTTGTGGGAGCCAGCGAGATTTGTTGAGCTATGGACGGGTATGCACAAATCCAATTTGCCCACCGTACCCGGATGCTCCACGAGATTTTTGCTTTGTTTCACCTGAGGGTACCACTCGCAAAAGTCATAGCTACTGTATTCCAGTGGGCCGTTTTGTCCGCTTTCACTGCTCTTTGTGGCATGCCCGGAATTTCGGAAGACGTTGGTGCTCGGTTTGACGCCACGCTTGTCGAACGACTGGAATGGAAAAAGGGGTCGTTCGTTCATAAGTGTAGTATCGTCATTAGGGCATTACACCATAGTCTTCTTGGAGCGGGCTAAGCACCATTTCCTATATTCCACTCACCCGAGTGTTTCCCTGGATGCGTTATAACTTATTTCGAAAAAGAACCGAAGCTAGGCAGGGATGGAATGGAATGGAATGGACCTATGATTGGCCTGCCTCACAGCCAATCATACCTTGCCCTCGAGGTTTGCTCGCTCGCCACGCCACGCCTCGCTTCACCATGGAAGTTGGCTGCCCCCATTGATTCCTCCGCGGACCTCGTCCAACGAACACCAACCTCTCGCCTCGACCATGTCATTCCGTTTTCACCCAACCAACAAACCGACTCCAAGGGGTCTCCCGTTTCTGTCGTCCCATCTCATACCGTCGCATCCGTCCTTCTGAACTGACCTGTTTGTTTCCCTAGTCACGCCAGTTGCGCATTCATGGCAGTCTCAGACCGATGCTATCCATGATTTGAGACCAATTCCCATGACACGCGACAGTCACCAGGAGGGAGATTGTAAACCTGTGTACCTTGGGTTCATATGGACGGCAGCGTCTGAGAAAGACTGGAGAGTCGGAAAAAAGACTTAGCTCCACCAACGTGCGGTTGGACCGATACGCGACGGCACTCTGTTCCCACTGGTTAAGATTCCTTCTGCAAAGCAATAATTATTAGCGGAGCGCCTACTAACTTATTTGATGGACGATGATCATGACGTGGGTAGCTACTATCGCGGCTCGAGAATCTACCCACACGTAGCAGGCCCGCCGAAAATGGGCCCCACGATCTGCACATTCGCCATGACTGCCAGACTCGCAGACTCCGGCGGCGAGGGCCCTTCGTCCGTTGCCGCGTTCCCGGTTTTCGGGCAAAGCCTGCTCGCCGAATCTTGGGATTCGCCCGACGAAGGCGAATCACCGGGACGGCGCTCGGGAAGCATTAGCGTAGACGCAAAGGAAGGTCCTTCCCGGCTTGCTGCGTCTGCTGCTGTCAATGCTGCTGCGACCACTGCTGACGACACTGCTGATCCACTTAGTACCGCGTTTCCGGGACTTCATTCAGGATCATTAGGGGTAGATCTACGGCCTGGGCTCGGGTCACGGGGGCCGTCGCTCGATCGAACGGCTCAGGGCAGTCGTTCCGCGCCGCATGTGACCGTTGCGGCGGCTGCGGCACTGGCGATTGCGGCGGTGGATAAAGAGCAGCGACAGGAGAAAGCGGCGGCGGCGGCGGCGGCGGCGGCGGCTGAGGTTTCGGGAGAGAGGTCGGTATCGACAATCGAAGCTGCCGCGAACCTTCTTGGCCGAGGAAGAAGACGACGAGAAGCGGGCCCGAGCTGCGGTGGCAGCACTGCGAGCAGCAGCAGAACCAGCAGAGACGCCGGTGCAGCAGCAGCAGCGGGAGGGGGCGTGTCCTTGGGAATGCCGCCAACTCCGAAGCGCGCGTCCAGGCACGGTCGTTCGCTGTCATCCATGGCGTTCCTCTCGCTCTCCCCCTTCTCCTTCTCCTCCCAAGCCTCCACGTCTGTCGTCGGCTCCCCTCTAGGGACTCAGCACATGTCAGACGTAGGCTCCAGTGCCGCCAGCCCGCGCCTTTTATCCGCTGACGTGGCAGCTGCAGGCTCTCTCGCCGGTCTTGCGGCTGCCACGTCAGCGTCGTCGGCGTCCCCCAGCCCGCGCTTGCTGGCGCCGCCGGACGGCCTACAGCCGTCCTCGTTATTCGCTAAGGGCAGGCGCGGTAAAGGCAGCCATTGTCGCAGCCGCAGCTTATCCGAGCCTTTCTGGTTCCTCGGCCAAACCTCAGGCTTGGACCTGAAGAGCCCGGGCCGGTTCAGGTTCGGGCCCAGGGCTCTTTCGGTGAGCGGAGGAGGCGGTGAGAGGGAAGGGGAGGGAGGAGAGGGAGTAGGCCTTAGTGACAGTGGGGGATTGTCGTCAGGGGACGATGCCCTGAGGGGAATGAGTAGACGAACCGGACGAAACCCAGAAGGAAGCGGCGCTGCTGGTACTACTGGGAGTTGGAGGAGAAGCCGCAGCAGAGGACGCGCATTGAGCCCTATCCGATCCGAAAGTTTCGACCGCTCAAATGGTGACACGTGTCACCCCGCAGTTTCCGACCGCGTATCCTTCTCCGCCAACGCCCTTCCGCCGCTCGCCATTCCCGCGTCCACCAGCCTCGACGACACTCCCCAAGCCAGCCCCTTGCCCGGGGGCGGCGGTGGCGGAAGGTCCTCCCGCCTCCAGTCGTTCTCCCCCAAGTTTCTTCCGCTAATTCCCGCGCGCACTGGCGCGGGCGGAAGCGGATTCAGCCCAAGCGGAAGCCCGCACTCGAGCAGGGGCGCGGGGAGCGCGACGGGAAGCGCGACGAATAGTTGCGCGAATAGTCCGCGGATGCCTTTCAGTCCGCTGCGGTGGGCTGGACTAGGCGCGCTAGGGTTCCGCACGTCTTCTAGTCTGAAAGCGAGCATGGGCGGGGGCGGGGGCAGGGGCGGGCTGGGGAGCGGAATCGGGAGCGGGGGAGGAGAGGATGATTTACTTGTGAGTGATGAGGGAGGGGGAGCTGCGGGAATCGGCGGAGGGGTTGTGGGGGAAGGCGGGGGCGGGGGCCGGCGGGTGAGAATTCAGCCTGGGACCAGGGGAGGGGGAGGCGGAGGGATAGGGGGAGAAGGAGGAGGGGGACGAAGGGAGCGAGCGCACAGGAGATCGTTGTCTGTGGATTTCGTGTCGCCTTTATTCGCCCCTCTCATGGCCGCGCGCAATCCCTTCTCCCCAAAGCCGCCCCTCTTCCACCAAACTGGTAACCCTCCTCCGCGCGCGCATGTCTTCATCTCCCCCTCCTCCTCCTCCACGTCCCCGCATCCCGCGCCCAGTTGGGCGGCTGCGGACTCATTCCCTTCCCCCTCCTCCGGACGCCTCTCCGCGCATTCCGCCCACGCCCTCCCCTCGCCGTCCGCCCACGGCCTCCCCTCGCCCTCCGCCCACCCTCTCTCCTCACCCTCCGCCCACCCCCTCCCCTCGCCTTCCGCCTACCCACCCCCCTCGCCCGCCGCCCATCCGCTCCCCTCGCCGTTCGCGCACTCGCGCCCGCCCCGCCCCGCCTCCCCGCTCCAGTCTTCCCCCCACCCTCGCTCCGCGGACTCTATTCGCCTGCTTGACTTTGGTGGAACGAGGGGGGGCGAGGCGTGTGGAAGAGAGAGGGAGGGAGAGTGCGAGGGGGAGAGCAGCGGGGGAGATTGCAGCGGCAGGAATGTGCTTCGATCGCCAAGAATACCAACAGCAGGAGGAGGGGAAGGTGGAGAGAGAGGAAGAGGAGGAGGAGGAGAGGGAGAAAGCGCAGAATCAGGATGGGAAAAAGGGCAGCGGAAGAAGGCAGGATGGGGTGGCAGCGCGTTTGGTAGAAGCAGCACTTTCGCCCCTTTTGGCCCTTCCAAGCTGATCCCAACGGGCCGCAGGCATAGAAAAAGCGCTTCACTAAGCACCTTTCCATCCATAGTGGAGCACTCCATAGCGGAGCATTGTGTGCTGGCGCAAGGAGACGCAGAGGGGCTGGGGAGCGGGTCGGATTTGGGGGGAAGGGGGGACGGCAGAAGGGGGAGTGTGGGGGGTGGGGAGGGGAAAGGCGTAGGAGGGGCTAGTGGTTCTGCACTGATGACAAAATCCGTAAGCTACAATATTTCTGTAAGTAAGACGCTTAGCCAAGAGCCGGATGGGAGAAGAGGGAGTGTGGGGAGTGGGGAGGGGAAGGGCGTGGGAGGTAGTAGCCCTTCGCTGATGAAGAAGTCTGTGAGCTACAATAACTCGTTAAGTGAAACGCTTAGTCAAGAGCCGGATGGGAGTGGGGACGCGCAGAGGCAGGGCGCGGGCAGGAAATTCTGGGGCATATGGGGGTGGAGGCAAGGAGGAGAAACAGGAGCAAGGAGAGGGGAAGGAGGAGCGGAAGGAGGAATGGAAGGAGCAAGGGAGGGAGGAGGGCAAGGTACAGGAGGTGGGCTAAATGAAGCCTCCCTAATAGGAGACGAGCGTTACTCTTCAGACTCACAGTCAGCTCTCAAATCGCGACCAGTTTCGGGTTCCTCCCAGGTCCTTGCGAGAGCATTAGCAAAAACGGGGTCTGGCAGGGGCAGGTCCCGAGAGGGCAGCTTCAAGGAGTTTCTCAAGGGGCGGTTCAGCCCTCCCCGGGTCGAGCTGTTGCCGGATACTTGTCTGCTGGATCCGGGTGTGTACGAACCGGGACTGCTGGACGGGCGTGGGGGAGAGGGAGGTGGGGAGGACGAGGCTTCGTTGCTGCCGCTGTCGCCCACGGGTATGCCCGTTGCTGCTCTCTCGCAACAGCATCATTACCAGCAGCATTATGAGCAGCAGCAGCAGCAGCAGCAGCAGCAGCAGCAGCAGCAGCAGCAGCAGCAGCAGCAGCAGCAGCAGCAGCAGCAGCAGCAGCAGCAGCAGCAGCAGCAGCAGCAGCAGCAGCAGCAGCAGCAGCAGCAGCGGCAGCAGCGGCAGAAGCAGCAGGAGCAGCAGTCTCGCCAGTCGCTAGAGAATCACTCTCGTGTGGGATGTGGGAGGGCTGGGAGCAGTGGTGATACTGGGCCTGGCATCACAGCGTTCTCCCTGCCCTCAACTCCCACATCCCGGGAAACAGCCTCCCTCACAGGAGTGGGCGGGCGGGAAGCAGCAGCAGCAGGAGGAGGGGGAGCAGGGGGAGCGGTTAAGGAGCAAGCGTTTCTCTCGTCCTCCCTGTCGTCGCTGCAGTCTCGAAAGCCCTGGGGCATCATACCCCACACCTCCTCTGCTGCTGATGCAGCCGGTGCAGAGGAAGAGGAGTCCATCCCTCACCTGCCCCATCTCTTGCACCACCTGCTCCAACACTCCACCACAGGCACCAGCAGCAGCCCCACGGCTGCACGCAGAGAGGGCCCAGATGAAGAGCCTGGGGAATCTGCTAACAATGGCTTGGCTGTAGCTGAACCGGGTGCTACAGCAGCTGCAGCTGCTCGCCTGTCGCTCCTGCTGACCCCGCCACCAGGAGAGTCGGATATTTCGGTTGACAGCCCTGCTGCCGGCCTTAGGGTGTTTGCAGGAGCGTCTTCAGGTGCTGCTGCTGCCTCAGGTGCTGCTTCAGATGTCGCTTCAGGTGCTGCCACTTCAGATCCCGCTTCTGCTGGTTCAGGTGTTTCTGTGGCAAATGCTCCTGTTTCAGGTATCGAGTCAGGTGAAACCACAACTTTAGAGGCAAGCAGCAAAGGGAAAGCAGCAGCCGAATCAGCACCAAAAGTCACGTCAACAGCAGTAACAAGCAACACATTAAACGGGACAGGGACAGAAGCAGGGGTATCAGCAGCAGCAGCAGCAGCAGCAGCAGCGCCAGCAGCAACAGCAGCAGCTCTCCCCAGTTCTCTTCACCTATCCTCTCTTCGCCGCCCGGCCTCAGCCCAGAGCCCGCTATCTTCCAACTCCCGCCACCGTCGGGCGGCGTCAGAAGCCCGCGATTTCCTCAACGAGCTGGGAGCGCGCCGCCCGGCCTTCATGAACGGTGTCGCAAAGTGCGGCCAGCAGGCGGCGCAGCACGGCAGGAGTGCGTCTGTAGCGGTGCATTCAGGGGCGGGAGGCAGGGGTGGCGTGGGTTTAGGGGATGGGGTTTGGGGCGGCAAGGTTGCTGATGGTGATATGATTGGTGCTGGTGATGGTGGTGATGGTGATATGGATAGGATTGGTGTTGATTGTGGGAATGCTGGTTTGGAGAAGTTTCCAAGAAACAGCAGCAGTGGGGATGGTGGCAGGGGTGAAAAGGGCCAGAGGAGTCGGCTTGGGCGGCATCGGTCGTCTGCTTCCTTGGAGATGCCGCACCGACCATTCACTGCTGAGAGCTGGCAGCATGTGGGGGAGGTGGATCAGGGGCACATAGGCTGGGGGGAGGTAGAACTGGATCAGGTGGAACTAGAGCAGGTTCAACTGCCGTGGGGTGACTCAGTATCACACCAGGAGCAGCAGCAGCAGCAGCAGCCGTGGCAGCAGCAGCGCAAGTATCAGCAACCACAGGAGCAGGTGTGGGAAGAGCAGGAGGAGGGGGAGAGCGAGAGTGTGGGCTGGAGCACGAGAGGAGTGGGTGTGGGAGAGTGTGATGCAGATGATACCGGAGTGCAGGGGCGGGCAGATGTGTGGGTGGCTGAGGAGGAGGAGGAAGAGGAAGAGGAGGATGAGGAAGAGGGAGAGGAGAGAGAGGAGGAGGGAGAGGAGGAGGAGGGAGCGGAGGGGCAAGAAGAGAGGTTTGTTCTCATGAACGTAGACGATTCAAGCAATCAGGATGCTTCTGGGGGAGGTGTTTTCAGTGTTGCCAGGCCCCCAGGTGCTTTCACTGGTCAGAGCCTGTTGAGCAAAGGCAGAGGCCGAGGCCCTGCGCGCCCCTCCCCTGCCCGCCCTTCCCCTGCCCGCCCTTCCCCTGCCCGCCCTTCCTCTGCCTCCTCCTCCTCCGCGTCCTCTGCTGCAAGAGCGCATGATTCATGGAATGCGGCCCCGCTCCCTCACTCCGCCGTCCCTGCTTCCACCCATTCCGCCTCTGCTTACCATGCATCTGCTCTGCACTATCGGAGGAAACACGCGCTCTCCCCCCGCTCCGCCTCCCGAGCGCCTGCACCCCATCACCGAAACCCCCCCAACCCCTTCGCCTCCCGCCCCTCTGCCTCTGCCGCTGTCTCTGCTGCTGCCTCAACCCATGACAGTTGGAACAGCTCTGCTCTGCCCCCCGCATTTGCTATGAGCCAGCCTTTCAACCCCCCCAAACCCTTCGCCTCCCGCCCTTCTGTCTCTGTCTCTGCTTCAACCCATGACAGCTGGAACAGCTCTGCTCTGCCGTCCGCCTTTGCCATGAGCCAACCCTTCCCCCCGTCAGCCCTCCGCTCCCCCCACTCCCTCCCCCACCACACCAACCACCTCCCCCTCAGGTCCCCCCGCTTCCCCATCCCCTCCCCTCGCCGCCCCTCCCCTCCCTCCCGCCCACCTGCTGCTGCGTCCTCTCTCCTCCCCGTTTCCCCTCACAGCCGTTTCTCTACCTCCACCCCTCCAAACCCTCCTTCCCCTCATACCCCTCCATCCCCCACTGCATATAACCAAGAAGACCCCTTCCCTCCTTCACTCTCATCCCGCCCTGCCCCAACTCGTCCCAGCACTGCCCCTCACTCCTCCCCTCCCACTGGCACACGCGACCGGCCTGCCCGCCTCCCAGGTCCCCACCTGAGAATCCACCTGACAGAACCTGATTCCGATCAAGCTCCCGACTCACTCTCTCGCCTGACCCCTGGCCCTGCTTCTGCTTCTGGTGCGGGCAGGAGCAGCAGTGGGCGCTGGAGCCACCTTCAGAGCCCACGTTTGCTTCCCAACGTGCTAAGCCCGCATGTAGCAGCAAGCAGCCCACGCATAGCAGCATGCAGCAGCCCGCACATTGCAGCAAACAGCCCGCGCTTCGATCGCCTGCACGCTCTCCCACATGCTAAGAAGTCCCCTCTCCCTAGAGACCTCGTCCCGGATCCCTGGGACTCCCCGGATCGCCCTTCTTCCGTCGATAATCTGGGTGTAATCGGTAATTACCCTCAGCAAAATCCAGGGGTACTTCCCTGGGAAGGGGACGGTGGGTATTCGGCTGCTGGTCCAGCTTCTGACGAGCAGCACTCACAGTGGGAGTTTGGGAGACAAGACGAACGCCCCCAAACCGCCCCGGATCGGAGCCTGCTTCGCCGAGGCAGCCGCAGCAGGTTCGGGGAGAGGCTCGGGGAGAGTGGGAGGTTCGGAGGGGAGAGGCTGAGGGACTTGGAGGAGCAGGAGGAGTGGGGGGAGGAGTGTGTGGAGGAGCATGGGGAGAGGCTTGGGGAGAGGTTCGGGGAGAGGATGGCGGAGAGGTTCGGGGGAAGGCTCGGAGGACATGACAAGAACCATAGGAGGGGATACAATGGCAGATGGGCGAGCACGGGGTCTTTCCAGGAAAGGGGGCATGTGGGGCTGCAGGGAGGGGAGGCGGGGGGAGTGGGAGGATATGGTGGAGGAGAGGGTAGGAGGCGCGGTGGGATGAGTGGTGGTGGTGGTGGTGGTGGTGGTGGTGGTGGTGGTGGTGGTGGTGGTGGTGGTGGTGGTGGTGGTGGTGGTGGTGGTGGTGGTGGTGGTGGTGGTGGTGGTGGTGGTGGTGGTGGTGGTGGTGGTGGTGGTGGTGGTGGTGGTGGTGGTGGTGGTGGTGGTGGTGGTGGTGGTGGTGGTGGTGGTGGTGGTGGTGGTGGTGGTGGTGGTGGTGGTGGTGGTGGTGGTGGTGGTGGTGGTAATGGTTATGGTGGTAGCAACGCGGGGGATTCTGATGGGGAGGAGTGGTCGGATGAGGATGATGCCAGAGCAGCAGGGGGTGGGACAGAGAGAGGAGGGGCTGGAAGAGGGGGTGGGGGAGGGGGATTTCAAGCAGAGGGCGGGGTGAGAGGCACGGGGCTGGCAGGGAGGTACTCGGCAGCGGGCACGTCGCTCCTGAGGCGGCACAGTACCTCCAACCGACGCCGCCCGGCCATGCGATCGCTGGACGAGCACGAGGAGGAGGGCGGGACGGGGGTGGGGAGTACAACCGGGAGACATGATGATTATAATGATGATGATGATGATGATGATGGGAGACGGGATGAGCTGGCGCCGCTTCCCCCTTGGAAAGAAGGACTAGGGGCGGAGCGAGGCCCTGCAGGTCAGGGACTTGTGTCTAGCGTGGGGTTGGGGTTGGGGCGGCCGATGGTTTCCAGATGGACAGGGGCAGGAGGGGGTGGGGGGAGAGAGCGCGGGAGCAGAGGCGGGAGGGATGGGGAGTAGGAGGATATGCCAGGCGTGTCTATGTCGTGTGGGAGCGGGGCGGTTTGGACGGGAAGCGGGTTTAATGGTGCACGGGGTGCTGCTTTTGATGCTGCCCATGTGTGGGCACCTGGTGGGGCACCTGGTAGGGCACCTGATAGGGCACCTGGAGGAGCAGTTAGAGGCTCGAGTTTGTCTAGTGCCAATGCCAGGCAGAGGCCAGGTTCGGCATCAGGTGTGAGGAGAGTGAGTGAGAGTGTGGAAGAAGGGAGTGTGGAGAGTGTGGAGGATCGGGAGGAGAAGGAAGAGGAGAGTGATGGAGGTGGGAGTGTGGTGGAGTTTGAGGATGAGAGTGAGGAAGAGGAGAGTGAGGGGGAGGAGGACGAGGAAGAGGATGAGTCAGAGGACGGGGAGGAGGAAGAGGAGGACGAGGAGGGAGAGGATGAGTAAGGGTGCAACAAGTTAGATGAGAGTTGGAGTTGAAGGGAGGGTATACGCCCCTAAACAATGTGAATATAACTTATACTCTTGCTGTTGGCTTATACTACTGAGACAAAAAGGCAAACTGAAGATTGTGCACATACCTAGTTTTTGTGGCGCTTTTTCAGTTATCTTTGCGCTAGCGCGGAGCGTTGTTAACGGAGATACTGCTGTCGCTCTGACGTTCGAGGATCTCAGAAGCATCGTGGCGAACTGTCATCGTGAATCGTGTCGCTCTCCACGTCAGTGATCACATTTGCCACGCCAGCATCGATCTCCCCGCACTACCACACCTCACCTCGAAGTTGCCGCTGTGCCAACATCACCCATGTGTGCGTGTCCTCTGCAATGCGGTTGAGTGGCATCCATTGCGTGACCGAGCGGTTGTCGGCCTTGCAGAACGGTCAGATGAGGTTTTTAGCCAAGACAAGCACAAATTGCATTCCATCGCCACATCTGCTGCACTCCACAAATTACAACCAGGCTCAGCACCAACATTCAACCAAGCTCGCTTGCTCACTAGAACTTGCTTACCGTGCTTGCTTTCGGAGCCGTGTTCGCGAATCGCGACCCCGCACACGAGACCATTCGCAACCGTCGGTTCGGCTGTGTGGCCCCGCGCGCGCCGTCTCCGTCAAGCTCCCGTTTCTCGTTTCCCGTCGCTCTTCGCGTATCGTTTCTCGTTCTGCCGCTCCCCGCGCTCCTCCCTCAGCCATGGCGTCCGCAACCCTCGCCGCTCCTTCCGCTGCCTCCGCGCGCCTTGCGGGGCCTTCTACCGCGAGATGCGGGCAGCCCGCCACGTGTTCCCTGACCGCATCCTCCGCTCGCGTCTCCAGACGCGCCTCGGCCGCCCTAACGAGCGAGTTCCTCCCATCGCGACCCGTTAACGTACGCATTCCATTTTTGAGGCGCCTCATAAATAGCGTCCGGATAACGCGCACGTAATAGAAACACCTTGCAGTCTCTTTGAGAAATATCAAAAGTGAAGGAAATCTGGCAGAAGCGCAGCGCACTATTGCATGATACCCCCTTCCCCTCCTCTTCCCCCTGCCTTCCCCACTTCCCCTTTTTCCCCGCTTCGTTTCCCCGTCCTCCGCCTTTCCCCTTCCCCCTCCCCCTCCTCTCCCCCTCCCGTTTTTGCCACGTCCACGTGGCGCCATTACAGAGGCAGGCGCTGCGGGCGGCAACGGGCCGCAAGCCGCGAGCAACCTCCGTGCGCCCCGGGCACGTGTTCGCGTCTGCTGACGTGGCGCAGCTGCGCGGGGCGCGCGAGGCGATTAAGGACATCATCACGAGCAAGTCGTGCAACCCTATCCTCGTACGTTGCCGTTTCAATTCGCGGATCTAGTACAGAATTCAGTACCGAATTTAGTACCAAATCGATACTGAATCTAGTACCATCTAGTGCCGAATGTCGTTTTGCGGTTATCAGGTTTGGTTTGCTCACTGCTGTCACCCGAATCTCCTTTCTGCTTGATGATTAGACGAGCCAAGATGAGTCTAACTCCACGTCAGACGACTCAAGAGCCATGTCTCCTGCGCACATTGCCACGTGGCGCTCTCTTCCGCCCTCCCTTGGCCATGTGTCGCTCCCAAATCCGCCTGGGCTGGCACGACGCCGGAACATTTGACAAGAACGTGGGGGAGTGGAAGAAGCAGGGGGGAGTGGAAGAAGCAGGGGGGTGCCCTTCCGATTTCTACTCCTCTCCTCCCCCCTCGCCTCTCTACTGCAGATTCGCCTGGGCTGGCACGATGCAGGCACGTTTGACAAGTCCGTGGGCGAGTGGCCGAAGCAGGGCGGCGCCAACAGCTGCATTCGCTTCCGCCCCGAAATCGACCACGGGGCCAACAAGGGGCTGGGGGGGGGCTCCAACCCCTTTCTGATGCTCCCGCCTCCCCACTCCCCTTGCTTTGCATATGTGCATTATTTCTCTCCTCCCTCCTCTCCTCCCTCCACTCCTCTCTCCTCCCCTCCCTCCTTCCCTCCCTGCCTCAGATCCGCCTGGGCTGGCACGATGCAGGCACGTTTGACAAGTCCGTGGGCGAGTGGCCGAAGCAAGGCGGTGCGAACGGCAGCATTCGCTTCCGCCCCGAGATCGACCACGGGGCCAACAAGGGGCTGGCGGGGGCTATCGCTTTGCTACAGCCGGTCAAGGACGCCTTCCCTGCTGTTAGCTGGGCCGACCTGTTCCAACTCGCCAGCGCTACAGCCGTTGAGGTGAGCCGTGCTACAGCCACTGAACAAGGGGATGGTGGGGGCCATTGCGCTGCTACAGCCGGTCAAAGACGCCTTCCCTGCTGTCAGCTGGGCCGACCTGTTTCAACTTGCTAGCGCTACAGCCGTGGAGGTGAGCGGGCCTGGGCTGGCATGGGCTGGGGGACCCTGTTTGCTCCAGCCCAGGCCTGGGCGGGGCTGGGCTGGCCTGGGCTACAATTGGGCCAACAAGGGGCTGGCGGGGGCTATCGCTTTGCTACAGCCGGTCAAGGACGCCTTCCCTGCAGTTAGCTGGGCCGACCTGTTCCAACTCGCCAGCCCTACAGCCGTTGAGGTGAGTCAAGGGGTGGAAATGTATCAATGGAAGGGAAAAAAAGGCTGCACACTCTCGCTGCTATAAATTTCGGATTGATTTTTCTACTCTCCCCATTCGGACGCCGACGCTCTCCTATGCATTTCAGATGGGAGGAAATTAAGGTGAGGGTGTTTGCCATGTCAGAGCACCGGACAAACGTGGATCTCAAGGACCCAAGGGATCAAATACTTTTTTTGAGATCCACGTTTGTCCGGTGCTCTGACGTGGCAATCGCTCTCAGCTTAAAATTCTTCCATCTAAAATGCACAGGGAGGGTGTTTGCATCCGAATGGGGGAGTAAAAAAATCAATCCGAAATTTCTATTGGCCAAAGTGTGCAGCCTTTCCAGCCGTTTAGGTGAGTTGGAGGGGCGGACCTGTGCATCAATCATGCTTGAACGTATCACTCAACCAATCCAGCCCAATGTACTCCAATCAAATCTTTTTCAATTCAATCCACTCCAATCCAACCCCATCCACTCCCACCCCACCCCACCCCACCGACTCCCATCCCACCTTATCCAGTTTGCAGGAGGGCCCAAGATCCCCATGAGGTACGGCCGAGTGGACACCACCAGCCCTGAGGACTGCACACCTGAGGGCAACCTGCCAGGTGATTTCAACAGAATCTGTCAGGAGATTTTAACGGAACCCTCCAGGTGCTTCCAGCAGAACCCGTCAGTTGTTTGAAACAAAATATGGAGGTAGTTATTACCAAAAACCAGATCAACCAGAAGTCTTGAAAATGTCTCGTCTTGGAATTACCAGAAATAGCAAGAAGGCACGCAATGAACTTCTTTGACCTACCTCAACATATCCCTGCTTCTCTTCTTTTCTCCGCCCTCTCCCCATCCGTCGCCCTGCACTCCCCTCTCCACTTCTTTTCCTGCCCCTCGCCATCCTTACCCCCACATCTTTTCCTGCCCCTCCCCATCCTTTCCGTCCTCACCCTCCTCTCCTCCCTCCCCATCTCCCCCGTCTATGCCCTCTCCCCCCCCTCGTCACCGTCAGATGCGGGTCCCCCCTCCCCCGCTGATCACCTGCGCAAGGTGTTTTACCGCATGGGGCTCAACGACCAGGTGAGGCAGGGGGCAGGTGACGACAGCACTGCCACTGTTATCACCGTAACCACTCTGCCGCATGGGTACCCCTCCCCCGCTGATCACCTGCGCAAGGTGTTTTACCGCATGGGGCTCAACGACCAGGTGAGGGCAACAGTGTGTTCACTCCGTTGCACTGTTACCATTGTAAACGCTGCTACCGTTGCACTCAGTTACACTGCTGCCACTGTCAACGCTGCCACCGTTGTTACTGCCGGTAACACCGGGATCAGTACCAGCGGATCACCTGCGCAAGGTGTTCTACAGCATGGGGCAAGGCAAGGCAAGATGCGGCAAGGCAGTGGCGAGGAGCATGTAGGTCTGTGTGGTGAAGAGAGAGACGTGATTGCATCACACGTGTGGTGCAATGTGAGGTGCTATTGTGTTGATTTGAAGGTTTTTTTGTTCTGATTGCCCACGTATGTCTGTGCCTGCGTTCGTGCGTGCCTGCCTCTGTGTGCCTCTGTGTGTGACTGCCTGTGTGCGTGACTGCCTGTGTGTGTGACTGCCTGTGTGCGTGACTGCCTGTGTGTGTGACTGCCTGTGTGCGTGACTGCCTGTGTGTGTGACTGCCTGTGTGCGTGACTGCCTGTGTGCGTGACTGCCTGTGTGCGTGACTGCCTGTGTGTGTGACTGCCTGTGTGCGTGACTGCCTGTGTGCGTGACTGCCTGTGTGTGTGACTGCCTGTGTGTGTGACTGCCTGTGTGTGTGGGCAACTCATCAGGAAATAGTGGCGCTGTCAGGAGCACACACGTTGGGGAGAGCCCATGCCTACATGTTTGTGAGGTGCCTCAACGATTGTGTGTGCCTGCCCGTGTGCTTGCCTGCGCTGCGCGCTCCCAACTCAACAGGAGATAGTGGCGCTGTCAGGAGCACACACGTTGGGGAGAGCCCATGCCTACATGTTTGTGAGGTGCCTCAACGATTGTGTGTGCCTGCCCGTGTGCTTGCCTGCGCTGCGCGCTCCCAACTCAACAGGAGATAGTGGCGCTGTCAGGAGCACACACGTTGGGGAGAGCCCATGCCTACATGTTTGTGAGGTGCCTCAACGATTGTGTGTGCCTGCCCGTGTGCTTGCCTGCGCTGCGCGCTCCCAACTCAACAGGAGATAGTGGCGCTGTCAGGAGCACACACGTTGGGGAGAGCCCATGCCTACATGTTTGTGAGGTGCCTCAACGATTGTGTGTGCCTGCCCGTGTGCTTGCCTGCGCTGCGCGCTCCCAACTCAACAGGAGATAGTGGCGCTGTCAGGAGCACACACGTTGGGGAGAGCCCATGCCTACATGTTTGTGAGGTGCCTCAACGATTGTGTGTGCATGCCCGTGTGCTTGCCTGCGCTGCGCGCTCCCAACTCAACAGGAGATAGTGGCGCTGTCAGGAGCACACACGTTGGGGAGAGCCCATGCCTACATGTTTGTGAGGTGCCTCAACGATTGTGTGTGCCTGCCCGTGTGCTTGCCTGCGCTGCGCGCTCCCAACTCAACAGGAGATAGTGGCGCTGTCAGGAGCACACACGTTGGGGAGAGCCCATGCCTACATGTTTGTGAGGTGCCTCAACGATTGTGTGTGCATGCCCGTGTGCTTGCCTGCGCTGCGCGCTCCCAACTCAACAGGAGATAGTGGCGCTGTCAGGAGCACACACGTTGGGGAGAGCCCATGCCTACATGTTTGTGAGGTGCCTCAACGATTGTGTGTGCATGCCCGTGTGCTTGCCTGCGCTGCGCGCTCCCAACTCAACAGGAGATAGTGGCGCTGTCAGGAGCACACACGTTGGGGAGAGCCCATGCCTACATGTTTGTGAGGTGCCTCAACGATTGTGTGTGCCTGCCCGTGTGCTTGCCTGCGCTGCGCGCTCCCAACTCAACAGGAGATAGTGGCGCTGTCAGGAGCACACACGTTGGGGAGAGCCCATGCCTACATGTTTGTGAGGTGCCTCAACGATTGTGTGTGCATGCCCGTGTGCTTGCCTGCGCTGCGCGCTCCCAACTCAACAGGAGATAGTGGCGCTGTCAGGAGCACACACGTTGGGGAGAGCCCATGCCGATCGCAGCGGCTGGGGCAAGGAGTCCACCAAGTACACGGTGAGTGAGACCATGGCGCGGTGCAGTGCAGTATTATGAGGTGCAGTGCGGTGCTACGTGGTGCACTGATTTGTGATTATGAAGCAGCTGTGATGTGTCAGGAGCGGTGCAGTGAGATACGGTGTGAAGCAATGATGTGTGGGGCAAGGAATCCACCAAGTACACAGTGAGTGAGACCATGGCACGGTGCTGTGCGGTCCAGTGCCGTGCAGTGCGATGTTGTGTGGTGCTCCGAAACTGTGAAGCATGAAAGGAGTGATATGTGGGGTAACAACGGGTCCACCTAAGTCTAGGGGATTTACCAAGTACACAGTGACACCACGACCATTTTTAGGCGCCTCTTACCATTTTTTAGGCCCACCTAAATTATATTTACGAAGTACACAGTGACACCCTTCCCTTGCCCCTTGCCCCTTGCCCCTTGCCCCGACCACGACCATGACATGGTGTATCTACTGAGGTTCCCTTGCCCCTTCCCTTGCCGCATCTCTCAATCTCTCATTTTCTCTTCTCTGTTTCTTCTTTGTTACTCGCCTTTGTTGCCTCCTCTTTCCGTTTCCCTTCTCCTTTCCATCACCGCCTCACTCTCTGATTCCTCCTGCTACCTCAGCTTCCTCTCTCATCACTCTCCTCCACCCCGTTCTCTCCTCCACCCCGTTCTCTCCTCCACCCCGTTCTCTCCTCCACCCCGTGCTCAATCCCTTGCAGAAGGACGGGCCGGGTGGCCCTGGAGGCTCCTCAAGGCGGACGGACCGTGCAGTGCCTCATACCCTCCCACTCCCAACTCTCCCTCCCTTCTCCTTCCCTCACCCCCCTCCATTCCCCCCTGCCCTGCTCCATCTTACCAGAAGGACAGACCGGGTCGGCCAGGGGGCTCTGTATGGACCCCCACACCAGCGACAGCAAGGCGGACGGACCGTGCAGTGCCTCATACCCTCCCACTCCCAACTCTCCCTCCCTTCTCCTTCCCTCACCCCCCTCCATTCCCCCCTGCCCTGCTCCATCTTACCAGAAGGACAGACCGGGTCGGCCAGGGGGCTCTGTATGGACCCCCACACCAGCGACAGCAAGGCGGACGGACCGTGCAGTGCCTCATACCCTCCCACTCCCAACTCTCCCTCCCTTCTCCTTCCCTCACCCCCCTCCATTCCCCCCTGCCCTGCTCCATCTTACCAGAAGGACAGACCGGGTCGGCCAGGGGGCTCTGTATGGACCCCCACACCAGCGACAGCAAGGCGGACGGACCGTGCAGTGCCTCATACCCTCCCACTCCCAACTCTCCCTCCCTTCTCCTTCCCTCACCCCCCTCCATTCCCCCCTGCCCTGCTCCATCTTACCAGAAGGACAGACCGGGTCGGCCAGGGGGCTCTGTATGGACCCCCACACCAGCGACAGCAAGGCGGACGGACCGTGCAGTGCCTCATACCCTCCCACTCCCAACTCTCCCTCCCTTCTCCTTCCCTCACCCCCCTCCATTCCCCCCTGCCCTGCTCCATCTCACCAGAAAGACGGACCGGGTCAGCCAGGGGGCTCCTCGTGGACCGTGCAGTGGCTCATGCCCCCCCATTCCCACCTCCAAGTCTCTCCCTCTTCTGCTTCCCTCATTCCCCCATCTTACCAGAAGGACGGACCGGGTCGGCCAGGGGGCTCCTCGTGGACCGTGCAGTGGCTCAAGTTCGACAACTCGTATTTCAAGGTTTGTAGAACCGCTCTACACCTCTCTGCATCCCGTTGCAGCCATTTGTATCGCTGTGAGTGTTCCTGGAGGCTTCTCGTGGACAGTGCAGTGGCTCGAGTTTGACAACTCGTATTTCAAGGTGAACTCATCGCACTGCACCTCTCTTCACCGCTCTGAATCCCGTGATTCGGTTTACATTTACTGTGACTGTTCTCGGAAGTTCCTCTTGGATGAGGTTGATTTTGAGAATTCTCAAAATCAACCTCAAACAAAAAGTGCAGTGGAACACCTGGTGCAGTTCCTCTCTTCCACTTACACTTCTTCATACACCTGATGCCCATCAGGAGGTGAAGGCACGGCAGAAGGAGGGCCTACTGGTCTGGTCTTGGCCCCGCTGATGTATGAAGAAGTGACGTGTAAAGGGTGAGTTTTTGAGACGTCTCAAAATCTTTTGAGTCGACTTAAAAGTCAACTGAGACGTCTCAAAAACTCACTTTTTACTCTTGGCCCCGCTGATGTATGAAGAAGTGTTTTGAGACGTCTCAAATCACTTCTTCATACACCTGATGCCCATCAGGAGGTGAAGGCACGGCAGAAGGAGGGCCTGCTGGTCTGGTCTTGGCCCCGCTGATGCTCGCTTCATTGCGTTGCATGCCGTTGCATGCCGTTGCATGCCGTTGCATGCCGTTGCATGCCGTTGCATGCCCATGCGCACCTCATTGCCTTATCATGCCCTTCCCCTTATCACCTGATGCCCCATCAGGACGTGAAGGCAAAGCAGGACGAGGAATTGCTGGTGCTACCAACGGATGCCGCTCTCTTTGAGGACCCGGGCTTTAAGGTGTGCATTTGTGATGGGCTTTAAGGTGTGCATTTGTGATGGGCTTTAAGGTGTGCATTTGTGATGGGCTTTAAGGTGTGCATTTGTGATGGGCTTTTAAGGTGTGCATTTGTGATGGGCTTTAAGGTGTGCATTTGTGATGGGCTTTAAGGTGTGCATTTGTGATGGGCTTTAAGGTGTGCATTTGTGATGGGCTTTAAGGTGTGCATATGTGATGGGCTTTAAAACCGGGGTGCACATTCAGCTGAATGTGCATCAAAGGTTATCCCTTGACTGAGTGGGTTACGAGGTGTGCTTTCAACCCCTTCCAAGTCGAAATTCGTTTCCCCCCTCCCCCGCAATTTCGTTTCCCCACGCCCCCGCAATTTCATTTCCCCCTCCCCGTCGAAATTCGTTTCCCCCCTCCCCCGCAATTTTGTTTCCCCCCTCCCCCGCAATTTCGTTTCCCCCCCCTCCCGCCAATCTGTTTCATCCCTCCCGCCATTCGGTTTCACCCACTCCCGCCATTTCACCCCCTCCCGCCACCTACGAAATGCCCGAAGCTCTAGCGGAATCATTTTTTTGTCGCCCCTCGTGAGCCAATCACTGTTTTTCTCCAAACCCCCTTCCCAACATCTCAAGCCGAACCGCGTTGAATGTGCACCCTGGTTTTAAGGTCTCAAGTGTGCACATGTTTCACGCACGCATGTGTTGTTGCCTTCTTGGAGAACCCGAGGCTTTAAGGAGCGGTGCATAGTATACTGCATGTGTTGCTGCAGGTACTGTTGCATGTCATGTCAGTTGCATATGCCATTCTCAGTTTCATCATTTCATGTATAGAGTGGTCCAGGCAAACATTCATATGCATTAACACCCTTTCCTCCCCCTTCATCCACCCCCCCGTCCCCTTCCTCCCCTCTCCATTCCCCATCCTCCCCCCTCCTCCCCTCTCTCCATTCTCTCTCCTCCCCCTCCTCCTCTCTTCCTCCTCCCCTCTTCATCAGGTCTATGCAGCGAAGTATGCAGCAGACCAGGCGGCGTTTTTCAAGGACTATGCCGCAGCGCACGGGAGGGCACTGGGCGAGCTGGGAGCCAAGTTTGACCCTCCCGTGCTCCCTCCCTTTCTGTCTCACTCCCTTAAGGTCTACGCAGAGAAGTATGCAGCAGACCAGCCGGCGTTTTTCAACGACTAAGCGGCGGCGCACAAGGCACTGAGCGAGCTGGGAGCCAAGTTTGACCTCCCTTGCATCCCCCTCTCTCCCTCCGTTTTCTCAACAGGTCTACGCAGAGAAGTATGCAGCAGACCAGGCGGCATTCTTCAAGGATTATGCAGCGGCGCACAAGGCACTCAACGAGCTGGGGGCCAAGTCTGACCCTCTTCTTGCTCCTCCCCTCTTGCTCACCTCTCTCTCTCTTCTCCTCTCTCTTGTCACATCAGGTCTATGCAGAGAAGTATGCAGCAGACCAGGCAGCATTCTTTAATGACTATGCCGCGGCGCACAAGGCACTCAGCGAGTTGGGAGCCAAGTTCGACCCGCCACAGGGCGTTACTCTAGAGGCAGAGGGCCCTCGCCCGGTGAAGTTCGTGGCATCTGAATACTCGTCCGGGAATGTGAGTGGCTTGTAAAGGCAGGGGACAGTGTAGATGGTTGGGGGGAAGAAGTCTGGGGGCCAAGTTCGACCCGCCACAGGGGGTCACTCTGGAATCGGAGGGCCCTCGCCCTGTGAAGTTAGTGGCATCTGAATACTCGTCCGGGAATGTGAGTGGCTTGGGGGTGGGGGAGAGAGAGGGTAGTGGGAGTGGCTGGACGCACAGAGGGGAATGCGGTTGGTTGTTGTTACTCTGGAGGGGGAGCGCCCTCGCCCTGTGAAGTTTTGTGGCAGCTGAATACTCGTCCGGGGTAAGGGAGAGGGGAGGAGAGGGCAGTGGGGGTGGTTGAGGGGTGAAGAGACCTGGGAGACAAGTTTGACCCGCCACAGTGCTTCACTTTAGAGGCTGAGGGCCCTCGCCCCGTGACGTTTGTGGCAGCTGAATACTCGTCCGAGAATGTGAGGGGTTGTGAGGGGTAGAGGGGAGTGTGATGGGGTAGAGAGCGGGGATTGTGAGCGGCACACAAGGCACTGAGCGAGCTGGGAGGCAAGTTTGACCCGCCGCAGGGGGTGACTCTAGAGGCAGAGGGCCCTCGCCCCGTGAAGTTTGTGGCATCTGAATACTCGTCTGGGAATGTGCGTAGATGGGTTGGTGGTGGGGGATTGGGGTGGAGGGCAGTGTGAATGGTTGAGGGGGGAAGAGAGCTTGGGAGCACGTTCGACCCGCCCCAGGGGGTGACCCTGGATTCGCTAGTTGTAGTTTCATCTTCTCACTGGACTTGCAGTGCACGAACCTTACACCTTCTCCCACTCCCTCTCACCCCTTTGCACCTCTCCAGACCCAGACCGAGATGTCGAGTGCCATGAAGAAGAAGCTACGAGACGAATACATCGGCTTGGGCGGCAGTCCCGACCGCCCGTTGCAGACCAACTACTTCCTGTATATCATGATTGGAGTGGCGGTGCTTGCCATCCTTACCAAGCTCACGGGAGCTATTTGAACTATTTAGGCCTTATTTGAGTCTACTCAAAACACGCTGCACTGCAGACCAACTACTTCCTGTATATCATGATTGGAGTGGCGGTGCTTGCCATCCTTACCAAGCTCACGGGAGCTATTTGAACTATTTAGGCCTTATTTGAGTCTACTCAAAACACGCTGCACTGCAGACCAACTACTTCCTGTATATCATGATTGTTGTGGCGGTGCTTGCTATCCTTACCAAGCTCGCGGGAGCTGACATAGGAGCTTTATGACATACTTATCAATAAGTCGTGTTACCCGTATCAAGCTCATGTGTTATTTTGTGACAAAGAGCCCCACCACATTGCTCCTAGTCGTCCATGTACGGTATTACCAATTACCATACAATGTTGTGGCTCCTATACGAGCTTGCTAAAGCCGATGTTTCAAACGCTTCCATATCAACTCTACCAAAAAGTTGAAAGATGGACCAGATGCTAAGTTGATAGCAGGATATAGAGGTTTGTTATGTGTATGGCAGTGCTGATTCGAAGTGTATATAGTGCAGAGCAGATCAAGGACATACGGTCTTGCCATATTTGATTGGTCACAGGACAACGCTTATCGGGTTAGCGAAGCTCTCTGCTGGAGCAGATGCCAGTCGAGCCATGGTTACGATTCACCTGGAAGGGAGCATTGCTGGAGAAATGGAGTGTGGATTGGGCAGGAGTCAATCGGGCTGTCGAAAACCTGGCAGAGTGGACACGAATTGTTTTGCTGGCGAGCTGCGCTGCGAAACGAATCAAAAACCATTGACAAAGTCTCTGATTGAAGGGACCGCTGGTTACGGGGCTTCCACACTGACGGTACTTCGCGAAACATGTCGCCGATCCCGTCGTCATCGCCGCACCTGGCTTCAGGTGGGAAATGGGGGCGAGTGGGAACACTTTCCCCTGACCAAACGACAAATTTCTCGCCCCGCGCTGAGGAATCCTGGCGCAACATGCGTCAACTCGCCCCAGCCATCTGCGTACAGATGGCGGAACGCGAACCAGCTGCTGCTGATTGGAGCCTGAGAGTGTGTAGCAAGGCTGTATGGGGGCCCGAGGAGAAGCCTGGCTGGGCCAGGAAATAAATATTATTTGGCATCCGGCCAATCAGGGGGAGGGACAGGTTCCCCTTCCGTACGCGCGTCTCGGGTTCCCACATGCAACGCAGGTTGCGTTTTCTCCGGTCCAGGGGCCCCAAGTTGTTTCGGACCGCCTGGTTTGGCGGCGAGAAGATTGGCGAAAGGTGTGGAAGGTTGCGAAGGGAGCTTTGCCGAGGCGCAGTGGTGCCCGGGTCGCCATGGGATGCATGGGAGATCGGAGGGGAGTGTGACACACGACCAGGAGGCACCAGGGCGACAGACTGGCGAAAGCAGACTGGCGAAGACCGTGGGATGGGATGTATGGATCTCCTGGTTGGTGGGTCACTGGGGTGGTGGTGGTGCTGTGCTCCCTTGGGCCCAGCCAGGAGGAAATGCCATGCAGTCCCACGGCGAGTACATATCTGAACCCTAAACGCACATTTGAAATCCATCAAACAGCATCAGCACAAACACCGCCGCTGATCACGAAACCCGCAAAAGCGTTTACTCTTCCGTGCGAAACACCTCCACCTGATAACGCGTTCCACTGACCAGCAGCACGCGAACACAAGCAGATCGAAACCAGCTTAGCCGCCGCTCGTCGCGAACATCTTGACTGTTATATATCAGCGTCGCCTATTAGTACTCAGCAGACTAGTTCCCTACTACCTTCAATTAATAGAATCCTTAAATCTTAAGTTATCTATCGAAGCCATGGCCGCCAAGCAGTGGGGTTGGGCTGACTCTCTGAAGCAGGCAGCAGCGATTAAATCCGTCCCGAAGGAGTGGGCTCCGCACGTCAAGGAAACCCGCCCTTGGCCCGCACCTGCCGCGGTGCCGTGGGCTGCTGCCCCAAATCCCTTCCAGTCCTGCCACGTGTTCGAGCAAGAGTTTCAACTGCCCGTCGCAGCTAGCCCCGCGACCAGCCGCGCCAGCAGTTTCGACAGCACCGATCGCATCGCTGCAGCCGCCGCTGCCGCTCCCGTGCCGTTCCCCCAGTCGCAGTGGCCCACAGCGGAATTCTTCGCCCGCGCGGGTTCCGCGGAGTGCGCGCGAGAGGGGCAAGGGGAGGTTTGCATGGAGGCGGTGGCGACGTCGGACATGCGCGAAGGGGAGGAGACGTTCCGCGCCGTGCCGCTTGCGCAAAGCCCCTTCCATTTCTTCATTCGCGAGAATGCGGCGAATATGGGCGAAATGGAATGGGAGGTAGCGTCGCCAGTTACCACACTGAAGCGCGCCGATTCATTCGCCAGCAGTAACAGCAGCGCCTCCCTCGACGCGTTCGCTCTGCCGCCCGCCGATGTCGCCACGCCGTCGCACAGCGGCGACGACCTCGGCTGCGACTTGAGCCTGTCGCTGAGATTACCTGCTGCTTTTTGAGTTCTCTCGGCGTCGCCTTTTACGTTTAACGATGGGTACGTTAGGGTTACCTGTACGTTGGTATCGGCCAAACGAGCAGTCCCTGCCGTGAGTGGCGCCTGCCGCCATTAAAAAGTGGTTGTGAGACTACAAGGGGGTTAATAAGTAGTCCAGATGCTGCATTTGGCCTGCCCGTCTCAATGACGGCGGATCCAGGCAGAGAGCACAGCTTGGTGAAAGCAACTATATTGTGTGATGTTGCCTGTCTTGTCCAGAATTCATTTATTCATACAGTTTAAATTCAGTTTCGGCGTTTATCCACGTTTCTAAAACTCATACTCAAAACGAACAGATGAAGCAATATAAATATGCGACGTGAGTATGTCTGTTTACTAGGAATCCCTGTCACGCATGTATGACTCAGTTTACTAGGGCGGGATTTTAACTATCTAGAGCTTGTAGCCATGCTTGCTGTTGATGATGTGCATAGGAACTCATTAGATTTATTTCGAGGTATACCTGGCGTTCGTTGCCGTAGCCTGGTTTTGTGTCTCATCCAGGCAAACGAAAAGGTGGGAGAGCATGGAATTGACTAGCGCATGGCGACAGCGGTAACTGGCGAACGTCGTTATCGTGCTGGTGTGGATGTTTGGGAAAACCGAACCGTAGGGGTCGCAGGGTATGCAAGGGAGGCAATGCCTGCAGCGCGATGGTGAAATGCGCGCAAACTCCCTAGAAAAGAGTCAAATGCACAGTACTCTACGCGGTACTGAGAGTAGGTGAAGTTAGGAAGTCACACAGTTTGTAGATACATTTAATTGTGTCACTTTCCCGCTCCCAAAAAAAAACAAATACATATACCAGAATAGATCTCTCAACGAAGCTTTTCATGGACCAATCAACAGACCTTCTATGCTGATGTACCAGTCAGGTCCAAAGGGATCGCTGAGAACCACATGCTGGTTTTCCAGCATGTTCCAGTACTGCTACACCCAACACAAGGTAAAAAATCTCACTGAAAGTATGGCACACAAGCAAAATATACAATACAGCAATCAAGACACATCCCTGTCAAGAGGATTCCTTTTCTGAAACACGCCCACGGCCGCTCGCACCTTATTGGCAGCAAATAGGACATTTCACCTCCGTATATACCAGCACGCCTATTGGAAGAGTATGTGCTATAATAAATCTTGTATCATGCTGCCAGCCCACCGCAGCACAGAATGTCCAGGGAGGAGGTGACTGTCCTCAAACTCAGACTAAGCATTTGAATTTCAAAGTGTTTCTTAGACTAAGCGTTGGCGCTTAGCTAAGTGCAGATGGTCCTCCTCGTAGCTGTGGGAGTCCCACTGGTGGAGACCGTCCATATCCTCATGCGAAATCCATGCTGGCACTCCCATGCACAGATCCGCCACGTCAGCATGCCACATGGGCGCCAGGTCACCATCTCCTGTAGCAACCACCTGACTGGCAGCGCTAGGGCAATCATTAAGCCCGTTATTTTCCGCCACTGAAACTCCACTGCTGTTTTCACCTGCAGCTGCATCAACTTCAGAATCCGGAGCACCTGAAGAACCACCTGAAGCTGGCTCCCAGGGTGCAAGCAGGGACTGCCAATCGATATCCTGTGCAGCTAACTCCTCCAGAGACTCTCCGCCTTCCGCGCATTTCCCCCCTCCGGTCTGCTCCGCGCCCCGCACGTCATGGGCGGCGGAGAAAAACAGCCCCACGCAGCCCTCAATCCCCCCATCTCCAGACAGCTTCCTCTTTGCGTCCGCAGCGTCTTGCAGAATCACCTGAGGTTTCACCTGATCGCACTCGTCCAGGTCTCCGGCCAGGAAGGCGAGTGGACCGAAGGCGCCTTCCGGCGAGTCGTTGCCTCCGCGCGCGGAATGCGCCTCAGGCGGAGACAAGGGCTGCGCGGGCGCGTGCACTGGCGCATGCGCCGGCACATGCGCGGGCGCATCGCCAACTTGTGCCACTGGCGGAAGCGGAGCGACCGGGTTGCACTGTGGCCCGTCGAACGCGGAAGGAGCGGGGGCGGAGCAGGACGTTCCGGGGAAGGACGGTCGCGCCAGGAACGGTGCGGGCCTTTCCGCCGTCGCCTGCACCACCGCTGGCGCAGGTGGCGGGGAGGGGGGAACTACAGGCGCGCGGGGAATCTGTTGCGCCTTCCGCCATTGCCCCACCAGCTGCTCCGCGAGCCTATTGGTGGGGGACGCGGAAAATGGCGGGGGAGGCGCAACGGAGGCGGATGCGCAAGATCCAAGCTGGAAACCGGCAGATGAATCAGTTAACGGTTTATTGCTTGATGCCCGAGCCGCAGCCGCATTGCCGCTTGCCGCCCCACCCGCCGCAAGAGCCGGCGCAAGAACATTCGTCAACCAATCATTGAGCGCCGTCTCCACCTCCGCCGCGGATGGCGACGCGGCGGCAGCAGCTGCAGGGGAAGCGGCTCTCTTTGCGCGCCTAGCGAGAGCTGCTTTGCGCGAAGAGGAGAGGTGAACGGCGGGGATATCCGCTGCGCCATTCGCAGCATTCGGCGGAAGAAGCAAGGGCGACACCGCCGTAAAGGACGGCGGCGATCCGCTTGCTTTCCGCGGAGTCTCGACCGCCGCGCCCACCCACGAAGCGCTCCGCGGACTCGCGGCTTCCGCCACCGCCCCCCGCCCGCCATAGGAGCAACTCCCAGAGGAGGGACTGGCTAGAGGCGGAATAGGCACCGGCGCCGCGTGTCTTGCGCGGCGGGAGGTTGCGCGGGCGGGGGAGGGGGCCTGCGCGGAGAGCTGCGGGGGGAGCTGCGCGGACGGCTGCGCGGAGAGCGAGACGGAGAGCTTCTTCGCCGCGGCGAAAGGCTTGCATCCGTTGGTAACCGTCACGGCGCTGTCGCCTTCCGACGTGGACGACGAGGGGGTGGCGGGGGAGAGCGCCCACGGCGCGGGGCACGCGGGGAGAGAGTTGGCGGAAAGACCGCCGCCGGCAGAAAGCCCGCTGCTTTCCGCCGCCGCGCAGTCGGGGCTCCACTGGTGATGCGCGGATGAGCGGATCTTGGCCGCCTGGCGCAACGCCTTGGCCCAATCGAGCGCCATGTGTCTCAAACTGACGGAATGCCGCTGCGACACCGACTCGGTAGCGTCGTCTCTGGTGTTCGAAAGAAAATGGCTGGGCTGTGGATGCAGAGTGGCTAGACGATAATTAGCAGCAATGTCTGCTGTGTTTCAATGGCGGATCCAAGTCGTTCCGATGGAAGGTTGCGAGATTACCTAATCGCAACACCGCCGCTCCACCATGTAGCCAGGAGGAGTGGACAGGGGAAGGGAGGAGGTCGAGAATCGAGATGTGGTTGATGATTGGAGTGGGGTCAGGTAGTGCGTGGACTATGGTAAACGGGAAGACGGGGCAGGGCGAACAAGAGCTAACAGCCTAGCACTGGCTAAAGAATAATGCCCGGGAGGAAGGGAGAAAAGAAGGTGAAGGCAGGGATTGGTGGGAGAGAGGTGAGAGGGCAAGAGTGAGGGCGAGGGGGAGGAAATGCACTGCTGGCGGGTAGGGGCAAGGGGCTACTGTGGTCAAAACTGGCTGCCCTGGGAATTTGGTTCGCTGGATCTGGTTGGTCCGCGCTGGCAAGTAGCCCCCGTCGCCGACGGGCAACCAGCCCCACTTCCGCCTTCCGCCAGTCGCGGATGCGCCTCCTTTGGAGGATTTGCCCCACCCCCAGGTTGAGCTAACAAAAACGCGGTTCGTCGGAGCTGGAGAATTTTCAGGGGTTTCCCCAGAGCAGCTATCCTGCGGGGAGAGCGCTGGATGACGGTAGTGCTGGAAACGACAAAGCGGCAAACCCTTGGCAGAGCCCTGGGTTTCGGCGCTCGCGACCGCGCGGAAGCCTGGTTTGGTTAGGGTTCGGGCAGGGCATGGCGGAGGCTGCAGTGCTCTCACGCATGGCCCGATGCAGAAGAACTTCCGCCTACTCGAATGGGCGTCGATCTTGACATCGAACTTGACGTCAACCTTGGGCAGAAAAAACCGTGTACAAAACCTGTACAGTTTCCTATAAAACTCTGGCTGAGGTGGGCCTGGGAGTGGCAGATCTGGAAACAGTGAATTATATCTGTTTTACTCTGCATTCCTTAACTCATTGCCTCGTCAGGTGTGAGCACTGTTCCGTTATGGTGGATTGAACATGTTCTCCCAGAAGGGTGTTTTATGAATAGAACCCGAACCTGCAGGGTGGACCTGCGCAGAAGACTGGTTCAAATAGAGTTTCCGAAATTGAATGGAACAGGGCAGGCAGGTGCCGGGAAAAATGCACAGATGCTAATCGGCCAGAATGTTGGAGAGAAGCAAGAGTCAGGACCATGCCGAGAACTGTGGAGAGCAAAACTCACGCGAGCAACGAGATGCCTAGGGCCTTGGAAAAGGAGCCCATTGGCGGATGAGTTCTGTTCTCGAAACCTAGATCTACGGACACGATGGCGTGTTCGCTAGGACAGCAGCATTACGTGGCGCGGGTTGCAGTCAAACAAGAGCCAAACAGTGGTTTCAAAAGGACGGGCTGATGTGGCGCACGCTGGTTCCCTGTAAACTTTCGGGCAGTAAGGGCGAAGTGGATTTTTCTTCCCTCGATTCCCGCAGAGGGCAACAAGATCCCCGAGTGCAATGCGGCAGCGCGGATCCTTCGTGAAGCACTGTAGACCAGCCAAGCATGTTCTGCCCTGTCCAGAAAACAGGCATTTATGATTTCGCATGCGTTAGGCAAAACAGTTGCGGACCTGCGGGACTAGCTCAGGCTCACTGTCAGGGATCTCCTCAGGTGAAGCTGTACAGAGCACGGCAATGTAAAAAAATCGGCGGTGCACAATCATTTGCAGGGGTGGTGCTTGCGTGGCGGCACCAGCGAGAAACTACCACCCCACTTGCACACCACGAACAAGCACAGACAACCACAACTGGATTTGAAGTAACGACTTGTACACTTTAGGGTTTAGCATTAGCTACACCAGCAATAAGTTTGTGTACTACTCTGAACAGGACAAATATATTATCTTAGCATCCTTTGCCACACCATCCAGCATTCCCTTAAGCATATATATCTAAGTGATCCAAAAACGGTGTGGGGGGCTCCATAAATTGAACTAAGTGCGAAACGCATAATTCACGATCTATAACTCATCATCCATATAATCGTCCGCTTGGCTATCCAATAGCTCAGAAGAATAAAGCTTCACCACTGGCATATGAGCTGTCCTCATCCGATTAAAGTCCTTCACCAAAAGCAACCCAAACGCAAGCAGCAGCATCAGCAGCACCAATCCTGGCCCATACGTAAGTAGCGCCGTTCTTTTCACAGGGGTAAATGCCCCTAGCAGCTCCGATTCCTCCTCATCTCCTCCGATTCCATCCCCTTCAACACCACCACCATTATCACGCCCCTCCTCATTGTCACTTTGGCTACTGTCACTGTCAGCAGAAGCACCTGTGTCCCCAGACAGAGCAGCTGCTGCCTTCCTTGCAGCCCGCTTCACAGCTCTGCTCGTTGCCTGCGACAATGCCGGTGGATTACCACCGCCCCCACCAGCGCTCGTAGCACCAGCAGCAGCAGCAGCAGCAGCAGCACCAGCAGCAGCAGCACCAGCACCGCTGCACCAGCAGCACTAGGAGAGGGGTCGTGAGCTGTCAGACTGCCTGGCTTGCGGTCAAACCAGCCACCCAGCTCTCTGCGCTGCCGACCCTCCGCCTCCTGAAGGTGTAGGGGGGAGGAGCAAGCAGGAAGGAGGTGGGGATGGTGGTGCTGTGAGGGATGCACTCGTAGCACCACCAGCACTAGAAGCAGCAGCACTAGCAGGGGAGGGATCATGAGCTGTCAGACTGCCGGGCTTGCGGTCAAACCATCCGCCCAGCTCTCTGCGCTGCCGACCTTCCGCTTCCTGAAGGTGTACGGGGGAGGGGCAAGCAGGAAGGAGGTGGGGATGGTGGTGCTGTGAGGGATGCACTCGTAGCACCACCAGCACTAGAAGCAGCAGCACTAGCAGGGGAGGGGTCGTGAGCTGTCAGACTGCCCAACTTGCGGTCAAACCAGCCGCACAGCTCTCTGACCCTCCGCTTCCTGATAGTGTAGGGAGGAGGGGCAGGGACGAAGGGAAGGGGGGTGGAGAGGGGGTTGGTCATAAGCTGTCAGACTGCCTGGGTTGCAATCAAACCACCCGCCCAGCTCTCTGCGCTCCCTGCCGAGACTCTGCCTCCTGAAGCCCAAGGGAGGAGGGGCAGGGACGAGGGAGGCGGGAAGGGGTAGTGATCAGAGGGATGGAAGAGGAGGGGGATGGAAGGGCGGTGATGTGAGCACCTGGGTTAGACATGACTGGGGGCTTCATGGCTGTCGTGAACGCACTTGTTGGTCGAGGCTCTCACCTCTTCCGAGTCTCTCACCTCTTCCGAGTCTCTCACCTCTTCCGAGTCTCTCACCTCTTCCGAGTCTCTCACCTCTTCCGAGTCTCTCACCTCTTCCGAGCCTCTCACCTCTTCTGAGTCTCTCACCTCTTCCGAGTCTCTCACCTCTTCCGAGTCTCTCACCTCTTCCGAGCCTCTCACCTCTTCCGAGTCTCTCACCTCTTCCGAGCCTCTCACCTCTTCTGAGTCTCTCACCTCTTCCGAGTCTCTCACCTCTTCCGAGTCTCTCACCTCTTCCGAGCCTCTCACCTCTTCCATCTTCTTGAGCTTTGCAAGAGCAGCAGTAGCATCTGCCTGCGTGGATGGGTCTGCCTTCACCATCTATAGCACACACCACATGGGAAATATAGTACGAGGTGTATGGAGAGAGACAAGAGAATGAGATTGGAATTTGATTCGTCTTAAAAATTGGCACGAGCAGCACCAGTAGCATCTGCCTGCGTGGATGGGTCTGCCTTCACCATCTGCACCACAGCTCATGACAGATACAGCGTGAAGTGTACAGAGAGAGACAAGAGAATGAGATTGCTTGTTGAGACGTATAAAAGTTGGCAACGACAGCAGCAGCCATCTGCCCGTGAGGATGGATCCCCCTTCACAGTCTGCACCAGATTGTGTGGCAGACATCGGATGACAAGAAAAACAAAAACCAGAACAGACAGGTGCGAGAGAGCAGCAGCCACCTCCCAAGACGGACCATCAGGCAGGTGCGTGATACTCATTGTGAGAGACGATTGCCATCAGGCAGGTGCGTGATACTCATTGTGAGAGACGATTGCCATCAGGCAGGTGCGTGATACTCATTGTGAGAGACGATTGCCATCAGGCAGGTGCGTGATACTCATTGTGAGAGACGATTGCCATCAGGCAGGTGCGTGATACTCATTGTGAGAGACGATTGCCATCAGGCAGGTGCGTGATACTCATTGTGAGAGACGATTGCCATCAGGCAGGTGCGTGATACTCATTGTGAGAGACGATTGCCATCAGGCAGGTGCGTGATACTCATTGTGAGAGACGATTGCCATCAGGCAGGTGCGTGATACTCATTGTGAGAGACGATTGCCATCAGGCAGGTGCGTGATACTCATTGTGAGAGACGATTGCCATCAGGCAGGTGCGTGATACTCATTGTGAGAGACGATTGCCATCAGGCAGGTGCGTGATACTCATTGTGAGAGACGATTGCCATCAGGCAGGTGCGTGATACTCATTGTGAGAGACGATTGCCATCAGGCAGGTGCGTGATACTCATTGTGAGAGACGATTGCCATCAGGCAGGTGCGTGATACTCATTGTGAGAGACGATTGCCCCGTTGCAGCGAGCACCATACCCGTTGGAGGTCGGCCCTTGCTTCGTCGAAAGCAGCAGAGTGCATGTGCGCCAACGCTCTCCGGTAGAGCGCTTTTGAGTGGTTGGGCTGCTCTGTGAGCGCCTGAAAAGGAGGAAGAATAGAGGGCGCGGAAAAGGCACCCCGGAGCGTGACGAAGTGCCTGTGCAAGGAGATATTCTGGCGTGGAAAACGCAAGCCCCGGGGAGTTTTTGAGAATTCTCAAAAACTCCCTGAAGTGCCTGTGCAAGGAGATGTTCTGGGGTGGAAAGGGCAAGCCCCGGGGCTTGCCTCAGAGGCAGAGCGCCTTGGCATGGTTGGGCTATGGGCTACACCGTGAGGACCCGGGAGCAGAAAGGCCGACGAGGAAATAGATGTCTGAGAGAGAGGAAGGGAATGCCAAGCCCCTCATAAGAAACGAGGTGACTTTTGAGTCGACTCAAAAGTCACCTAATGCCAAGCCCCTAATAAGTAACGAGGTGACTTTTGAGTCGACTCAAAAGTCACCTAATGCCAAGCCCCTAATAAGTAACGAGGTGACTTTTGAGTCGACTCAAAAGTCACCTAATGCCAAGCCCCTAATAAGTAACGAGGTGACTTTTGAGTCGACTCAAAAGTCACCTAATGCCAAGCCCCTAATAAGTAACGAGGTGACTTTTGAGTCGACTCAAAAGTCACCTAATGCCAAGCCCCAAATAAGTAACGAGGTGACTTTTGAGTCGACTCAAAAGTCACCTAATGCCAAGCCCCTAATATGTAACGAGGTGACTTTTGAGTCGACTCAAAAGTCACCTAATGCCAAGCCCCTCATAAGTAACGAGGTGACTTTTGAGTCGACTCAAAAGTCACCTAATGCCAAGCCCCTAATAAGTAACGAGGTGACTTTTGAGTCGACTCAAAAGTCACCTAATGCCAAGCCCCTAATGAGTAACGAGGTGACTTTTGAGTCTACTCAAAAGTCACCTAATGCCAAGCCCCTAATAAAGTACCGAGGTGACTTTTGAGTCGACTCAAAAGTCACCTAATGCCAAGCCCCTAATGAAGTAACGAGGTGACTTTTGAGTCGACTCAAAAGTCACCTAATGCCAAGCCCCTAATAAAGTAACGAGGTGACTTTTGAGTCGACTCAAAAGTCACCTAATGCCAAGCCCCTAATAAGTAGAACGCCTCGGAGTGTTGGTGCTGATCTGTTAGCTCCAGGGAGGAAGAATGGTGTATGACCTGGTGGGACAAAAAGCACCTGGGAGTGCGACTTTTGAGTCGACTCGACTTCTGAGTCGACTCAAAAGTCAACTAGGAAGAATGGTGTATGACCTGGGAACACGCTGTGGGACAAAAAGCACCTGGGAGTGCGAGGATGAGGCGAAGCAAGCAGGGTGAGCTGAGCATTAAAAATTGCTACTTTACATCCAACTCACTCGAGAGCCAACACGAGGTGTGAAAGAATTGAGAACTCCCAAGATTTTCTCACCTTTTCAGCCCACTCTATAGCCCTTGCATACTCCCCCATGCCATGCTGACATGCTGCCACGTTCAGCTGCAGAGCGGTCTGCAGGGAGGGAGGGAGGGGATGATGATGTGGGGAAGGCAATGTGGCAATGTGGTTGGGGAAGAGTGCGAGGGGGAACAGAGGCGGCCTTCTGTCCGTGCTGACATGCTGCCACGTTCAGCTGCAGAGCGGTTTGCAGGGAGGTAGGGAACGACGGGGTTGACAAAGCAGTGAGAGAGAGAGGATGAGGGGTGGTATGGTTGGGATGAGAGAGGGAATGAGGGACAGCCCGTGCTGACATGCTGCCACGTTCAGCTGCAGAGCGGTTTGCAGGGAGGTAGGGAACGACGGGGTTGACAAAGCAGTGAGAGAGAGAGGATGAGGGGTGGTATGGTTGGGATGAGAGAGGGAATGAGGGACAGCCCGTGCTGACATGCTGCCACGTTCAGCTGCAGAGCGGTCTGCAGGGAGGGAGGGGATGATGATGATGTGGTTGGGAAAGGGAGTGAGAGAGGATAAGGTATAATTGAGTGTCCATGCTGCCCTTTACTGCACAGCCCCATGCACCTCCCGACTGCACTACCCCCACTGCCCAAACCTGCCCGTGCTGTCTCCCTCTCACCTCTCCCCCACGTCCTCCCTGCCCCCACACCCACCCAGCCCAATCCCCTCTCCCTGCCCCCCAAATTCTGAGGGGGGCTCACCTGCTCCTCACTGTCCATCCCCTCTCCTCACCTTCTCCCCCCCTCACCTGCACGGAGTTGAACTGCTTTGCCTCCTCGCCCTCCTTGGGATGCACATGCCCCCCCCACTGCCGTCCCCTACAGCTGCCTCTATCAACGCCCCCCACCTACTCCACACTGCCCCCTTTCGCCTCACCTGCCCCCTATTACCCCCCCCCCCCTCACCTGCACGGAGTTGAACTGCTTTGCCTCCTCGCCCTCCTTGGGATGCACATGCCCCCCCCACTGCCGTCCCCTACAGCTGCCTCTATCAACGCCCCCCACCTACTCCACACTGCCCCCTTTCGCCTCACCTGCCCACTATTACCCCCCCCCCCCACCTGCACGGAGTTGAACTGCTTTGCCTCCTCGCCCTCCTTGGGATGCACATGCCTCCCCCACTGCCGTCCCCCACAACTGCCTCTATCAACGCCCCCCACCTACTCCACACTGTCCCCCTTTCGCCTCACCTGCCCCCCATTACCCCCCCCCCCCCCACCTGCAAGGAGTTGAACTGCTTTGCCTCCTCGCCCTCCTTGGGATGCACATGCCTCCCCCACTGCCGTCCCCCACAACTGCCTCTATCAACGCCCCCCACCTACTCCACACTGTCCCCCTTTCGCCTCACCTGCCCCCCATTACCCCCCCCCCCTCACCTGCCCCCCATTACCCCCCCCCCCTCACCTGCACGGAGTTGAACTGCTTCGCCTCCTCGCCCTCCTTGGGATGCACGTGCCTCATCTCCCGCAGCAGCTGCTCAACAAACGAAAGGTACCAAGGGGTGGAGAGCGGTGCAAGGCGGAAAGCTTTGGTGCAGTGCAACCCCCCAATGGACTCAAAAGGCCACTCAAAAGAGCCAGCAGCCTCGGCCGCAAACTTAGGAGTGAGTTTTTCCGACGCCTAGAGAAGAGAACGCCAGCAGCCTCGGCCGCAAAAGAGCCAGCAGCCTCGGCCGCAAACTTAAAAGTGAGTTTTTGAGGCTCCTAGAAAAACAGAGTGGTTTGGTGCAAAGCAGCTCAACAAACAGCAAAGTCAAACTGCCACTTGGTATATCCAGCAGCCTACGCTGCATTACTACAAGTGGAAGGCAGAGTGCAAGGCAGGTCGGTCCTTACCCTTTCATACTTGCTGCATGCGTGGCTGTACTTCCTCTCCTTGTATAGCGTGTTTCCCTGCCGATCGAGGGATGGGATGCGGTGGAATGGGATGGGATGAGATAGAATGCAGGGAGAAAGGAGGCCGGTCATTACACTGTACTTCCTCTCCTTGTACAGCGTGTTCCCCTGCAGGCAGTGCGGTGGGATGGGATGCAGTGGGATGGGATGGGATGGGATGATTAGGAAATGATGAGTCCATCAAGTCAACATGAAAACCAAGCGAAACCAATGCCAGAGGAAGACCAATCCCACAGGAAGACCAAGCGTTCCACGGGTCAAGCACAGAACGAGGCAGAATAACAGTTGGAACCAGTCGCAGCCCCAACCAGCTGCTTGCCTTGCCACCCTACAGTCAACCCTTAAGTGAACCCTGAAGTCAACCCTACAGTCAACCCTGAAGTCAACCCCAAGACCAGTCGCAGCCCCAACCAGCTGCTTGCCTTGCCACCCTACAGTCAACCCTAAAATGAACCCTGAAGTCAACCCCAAGACCTGTCGCAACCCTTACCAACTGCTTGGTTGTGTCGATTTCAGCGAGAATTTCTTCAAAGGACAGCCCCTCCCAGCCCTGCTCTCACAACACAGCCATGGGGGATAAGGATCAGGGTTTTAGTTTTTTAGGTTTAAGGTTTAGGAGAGGGACACAGGAGGCTAGAGGAAGAATCGCTTCAAAGGACATCCCCTCCCAGCCCTGCTCTCACAGCCATGGGGGTGGGAGGGAGAGGGGGAGATGAGAAGCGGAGGGAGAGCAGGAAGAGGGGTAGACGGGAGGAGGAGGAAAGGGAAAGAGGGGACACATCAGGAAAGAGGATAATGAGGGGAAAGAAAGGGAAATAGGGAACGGGGACCTCGAATGCAAAAAAAAGAGGCTCACTTTGGTTCTCTTCAGATTTTTCCGAATTCTTCAGGTAAGAATGGCTGACCTTGGGCCTCTCGATCCCGGACGGCCCCACCTCCCACTGCACCCTCGCACCCTCTCCTGACCAACGGAAGCCCACTCGCCCCATTCGTACATGCCACCACACATGCACCCACCTTGGGCCGATCGAAGCCAAACAGCTCCACCTCCCACTGCACTCTTGCGCCCTCATACCCTCACACCCTCACACCCTCACACCCTCACACCCTCACACCCTCACACCCTCGCACCCTCACACCCTCACACCCTCACACCCTCGCACCCTCACACCCTCACACCCTCGCACCCTCACACCCTCACATCCTCACACCCTCGCAACCCCATACCCTGCAAAACCTGAATCAAGTTGAATGGCGCTCACCTTGGGTCGCTCGAAGCCAAACAGCTCCACCTCCCACTGCACCCTCGCACCCTCTGGTACCCCCTCTGGCCTGACAGGGGGAAACATGGAGTGGCATGGGATGACATGAGATGACATGGGAAGGCATGGCATGGCATGGTATTGGATGGGATGGGATGGCATGGCATGGCATGGCATTGGATGGAGTGACACGGGATGGGCTTGGCATGGGCACAGGGGTGCATCCTGGCAATGCAGTCGCTGCGGCACGACAAGCGCCTGCCTGCCAACACACCGCTCCTGGGGAAGGAGCCATAGACGTACTGCGCCGTGTTTCCACGCTATGTGCTGCCCTGGGGAAGGAGCCATAGACGTCTTTTGAGACGTCTCAAAAGCCACGCTAAGTGCTGCCCTGGGGAAGGAGCCATAGACGTCTTTTGAGACGTCTCAAAAGCCACGCTAAGTGCTGCCCTGGGGAAGGAGCCATAGACGTACTGCGCTGTGCTGGATACGGGGCCACCTTTCCCGGCATCGAGCGTGTCGAATGCTGAGATGTGGTGAGGTGAGGCCAGTGCCTCTGCCCGCACTGTGCCGTGCTGCCATGCCAGCCACCAGCCACCTCACCTGGGGAAGGAGTCATAGGCGTATTGCGCAGTGCTGGATACAAGGGCCACCTCTCACGGCAGCATCAGGCGAATGCTCGCCTCCAGCGCCTCTGGCAGCTGGCGGTGAGGGGGTGGGTGGAAGATCGGGCAGGAGATACGTGCGCCAGTAAAAATCTGATGAGCCTTGAAACAAGCGTGCTGGGTACAACAAGGGCCACCTCCCCCGGCAGCATCAGGCGAATGCTTGCCTCCAGCGCCTCTGGCAGCTGTGGTGATGGGGGGGGGCGAGAGAGCGGGCAGGGCAGGACGTATGCGAGCGAGCGGGGATGCAACGTGCCTCAAGCCCCCAAGAATCATGGGCCTTGTGCAAGCCTGCGGGTGGTAGATTGATTTTTGAGAAATCTAAAAAAATATCCTGCGGGTGGTAAATTGTTTTTTTCTGCTCCCCTCTCACCCTGCCTTTCCACTCACCCTGCCTTCCCACCTTTCCTGCCCTCCCACTCACCCTGCCTTCCCCAGTGCCGATTTGAAGAGGCTCCCCCCCTGCTCCCGCCCCCTCGCCCCCTTTCCGCGTGTCCATGAACTCAACACCCCCCTGATCCAGCAGTGTGCTGCGCGTTCCTTTCCCCATTTTTGTCTCTCTCCTCCCACTCACTCACCCTGCCTTCCCCAGTGCCGATTTGAAGAGGCTCCCCCGCCCCGCCCCCTCCCCCTCCCCTTCGCCCCCTTTCCGCGTGTCCATGAACTCAGCACCCCCCTGGTCCAGCAGGGTGCCACGCATGTGCACGTGCACTCATACCCCCTTTCATCCCACTCACCCTGCCTTCCCCTGTGCCGATTTGCAGAGGCTCCCCCTCGCCCTCCCCCACCCCCTCGCCCCCTTTGCGCGTGTCCATGAACTCAGCCCCCCCCTGGTCCGGCAGAGTGCCGCGCATGTGCACGTGCACCACGCAGTCCTGCAGTGGACAGTCCATTGGGAAGTCGCCTGGAGGGGGCAGGGCACAGGGGGCAGGGCACAGGGGGCAGGGCACAGGGGGCAGGGGGCAGGGGACAGGGGGCAGGGCACAGGGGGCAGGGGACAGGGGGCAGGGCACAGGGGGCAGGGCACAGGGGGCAGGGCACAGGGGGCAGGGCACAGGGGGCAGGGCACAGGGGGCAGGGCACAGGGGGCAGGGCACAGGGGGCAGGGCACAGGGGGCAGGGGACAGGGGGCAGGGCACAGGGGGCAGGGGACAGGGGGCAGGGGACAGGGGGCAGGGGACAGGGGGCAGGGGACAGGGGGCAGGGGACAGGGGCAGGGACAGGGGCAGGGCACAGGGCACAGGGGGCAGGGCACAGGGGGCAGGGCACAGGGGGCAGGGCACAGGGGGCAGGGGACAGGGGGCAGGGCACAGGGGGCAGGGCACAGGGGGCAGGGCACAGGGGGCAGGGCACAGGGGGCAGGGGACAGGGGGCAGGGGACAGGGGGCAGGGCACAGGGGGCAGGGGACAGGGGGCAGGGGACAGGGGGCAGGGCACAGGGGGCAGGGGACAGGGGGCAGGGGACAGGGGGCAGGGGACAGGGGGCAGGGCACAGGGGGCAGGGGACAGGGGGCAGGGGACAGGGGGCAGGGCACAGGGGGCAGGGGACAGGGGGCAGGGGACAGGGGGCAGGGCACAGGGGGCAGGGGACAGGGGGCAGGGCACAGGGGGCAGGGGACAGGGGGCAAGGGGCGTGGGAGGGAGGGGTGGTTGGGGTCCGGCAGGGTGCCGCGCATGTGCACGTGCACCACGCAGTCCTGCAGCGGGCAGTCCATTGGGAAGTCGCCTGGAGGGGGCAGGGCACAGGGGGCAGGGCACAGGGGGCAGGGGACAGGGGGCAAGGGGCGTGGGAGGGAGGGGTGGTTGGGGTCCGGCAGGGTGCCGCGCATGTGCACGTGCACCACGCAGTCCTGCAGCGGGCAGTCCATTGGGAAGTCGCCTGGAGAAGGATGGGAGCAGGGAGCAGAGCAGGTAGGGCGTGGGGTGTGGGGTCAGGGGGAGAAAGAGGATGACAGACAATGGGGAAATCAACGGCAGGGAAGTGAGCATGGGGTGTGACTGTTTTTGAGTCGACTCAAAAACAGACTCACTACACGCGAAGTGAGCATGGGGTGTGGGTCGGGTCCAAGGGAGAGAGGGAAGGCAAGGCAGCAAGTCGCCCGTGGGTGCAAGTTTAATGGGTCGAGTGCGTGGCAGATGGTTTGTTATGGCTGACCGAAAAGGATTGAGGAAGGAAAAGGATGCTTCGTCCTCACCTGTCCCGTCTTGAAGCCTTCTCTTGATCACACACCCGTTGCCCAGCACATCTCGCACCTGTATGCATGCATGCATGCATGGATGCAGGGATGCAGGCATGTAGGCGTGCAGGGATGCAGGGATGCACAATTGCCATTGCCAAACATGCACACATGCATGCATGGAAATCATGTGCATTGTGCACACACAAGAATGCAGAAATACAGGCATCCACGTATGCACACATGGGCACATGCACAGACACCCAAAGAAAAAGAAAGAAAGAAAAAAGAGCTTGGAAGGAATGGCATGGTAATGCGCATCCACTTCTCAAAGCTATGTGCACAAGCCATATTCGAGACAACAATAGATTTTGGAGTTACTTCAGGAATTCGCCGCCAGCAACTCAAAAATTGGTGGCACCGTGGCATGCCGCATACCCCACCCCACCTATACGATCTTCACCAGCTGCACATGATACTCCACATCCACCACCCTCTCTGGCGTATGAGTAAATTAGAGGTCTGTTCACCTGTATCACACCACCCCTCCCCCCTTCCCCCCCACTCTTTCCCTCCCAGGTGACTGGTGAGTCAACTAGAGATCCACTCATCTATACCATCACAGCCACGCCTCTCACTCACCTCAACCATCACCCCCCTCTCACCTGCACGACCTTCACCAGCTGCACATGATACTCCACATCCACCACCCCCTCTGGTGCAGGTAACATGCAAGTAAACACGAACCTCCCTGTACCACTACCACACCCCCTCTCTCCACCCTCCCCCCCACCTGCAGAATCTTCACCAGCGGCACATGATACTCCACATCCACCACGCCCTCTGGCGCAGGTGACCCTTGAATCCTCGCACTCACCTGGATCATGAAACGCCATCACAACCCCCTCCCTCTCCCACCTGCACCATCTTCACCAGCTCCACATGATACTCCACATCCATCACCCCCTCTAGTGGCTCCGACCTTTGACCCAACTCAACCACCACACCCCCCCAACCTGTCCTATCGTCACACTCCCCCCCACCTGCACGATCGTCACCAGCTGCACATGATACTCCACGTCCACCACGCCCTCTGGCGGCGCCGGCACCACAACCACCGAAGCAGCCAGCCCGAGCTTCCCAGCCTCAGCTTCAGCACTCCCAGCGTCAGGTTCGGCAGCACCCGGAGCAGGAGCAGTGGCAGGAGGAGGTGGAGGAAGAGGGGTGTCGGGGGGCGGGGGGATGGTGTGGGGGGAGGAGGCAAAGATTACCGCCTTTTCCCCTGCGAGCATGTGGGAGAGAGCGAGATCAAGTGCTGGGGGAAGCTGGGGCAAACACAAAAAACAAGGGAAGGATAAAGGAAAAACAGGGAGATGGGGCATATGAGGCGTGTGGTGTGCAGGGAGGAAGCAAATACGACTGCCTTCTACCCTGCGAGCATGTGGGAGAGAGGCGTACCAAGTGCTGGGGGAAGCTGGGGAAATAAGAGGAACAAAGGGAGGAAGACCGTGTGCGGGCAGGAGAAGGGGTTTAGGGAGGAGTAAGGAGTAGAAAACGGCTAGCACAGGGAGGCGAGGACGGAATGCCACTTGCGTAGAAAGGAAGCGAGGAGCCCAGAAAACAAACTTTTAGTGCAATAGACTCAAAAGGTCCCCCCTCCCCTGCCTTACTCGAGCTGGGTCTAGAAAAATGGTTCTTTTCGCTTCAGCATTTGACCCTCTTCCCCGCTTCCTCCCTCTGTGCCACCCCTCCTCCCCCTTTTGAGTCGACTCAAAAGTCACCTCTTTTCGCTTCAGCATTTGACCCTCTTCCCCGCTTCCTCCCTCTATGCCACCCCTCCTCTCCCTAGACCCTGATCAACCCTACCCCCTCTCCCCTGACTCACCCGAGCTGAGCCGAGGGCGAGGTGCAGGGGGGTGGAGGAGCCCGTGCCAGCCGCATAGAAGGGCGTTGAGGACCTCAGAGGGTGAGCTTCCAGCCTGGCAGGCAGGGGGGAGGGGGCACATGGGGGAGATGGGCGTGGAAATGCGCCTGGGCGAGGTGCAGGGGGGCTGAGGAGGCGGTGCCAGCTGCATAGAAGGGCGTGGGGGAGCCCAGGGGGCGAGCTTCCAGCCTGGCAGGCAGGGGAGATCGGAGGACGATGGTGCACATTTTGCAGATGGCAAGGCGATGTGAATGTGTATGCATGCATGCACATGCGCTTGCACATGCACATGCGCTTGCACATGCACATGCACATGCACATGCAAATGCACATGCACAAGCACAAGCACATGCACATGCACATGCACCAGTGCCGCCCTCCCGCCAACAACCGCACCTCTCTCTCTCTCTCTCTCTCTCTCTCTCTCTCTCTCTCTCTCCTTCTCTCTCTCTCTCTCTCTCTCTCTCTCTCTCTCTCTCTCAAGCGGTCATGTATTGATATGGGTCACAAAGGTACAGGCATGGCAAGTGGTGGTAGCTAGCGTGACTAAACATGGAAGCAACCAGGAAACCAGAGCTAACAAACAAACAGAGCAAGCCCGTCCAGCCAAAGCCAAAGCACACCGATCACCCAGCACTCAGAGCAGCCCGGTCCACAGCAGCACAAGTCCCTGAGAACCCCACATTCCACTTATCCCTTGTTCCTCCCATACCATAGGGCCACCCCTTATCCTCCTTCCCCCGCAGCTTCCTCCCACCTTCCCTGAGACGCCCTCCATTCCTTGTCCCCCCTGAAACCTCCCAAACTTAGTATTCTTCTTCTTCCCGACCCTCACCACATGCACATGCACAGGCACATGCACATGCACATGCACATGCACAGGCACATGCACATGCACATGCACAGGCACATGCACATGCACATGCACATGCACAGGCACATGCACATGCACATGCACATGCACAGGCACATGCACATGCACATGGACAAAGAATGGGATTTGAACGTGCAGGGCAACGGAAAGAGGTACCTTATCTTGACTTCATACGGCGGCCTCGGCTGCTCCCACCCTCTCCCCTCTTCAACCGTCTGATACAATCACAAACCACAGGAGGCCACGCATGATAGAATCACAAACCACAAATGGGCATGTGTGTGTGTGAGACAATCACGAATCACAGGGAAAGCCTTTCAACAAATAATGGCCACAGAAAGGTTCCCTGTGAGACTTTCGTTCTCTCAAGACTTTCATTCTCTCAAGACTTTCATTCTCTCAAGACTTTCATTCTCTCAAGACTTTCATTCTCTCAAGACTTTCATTCTCTCAAGACTTTCATTCTCTCAAGACTTTCTTTTCTCTCAAGAGAGACAAGAAGGCCTTCTTGTCTCTCAAGAGAAGGCAAGAAGACAACAAGGCCAAACAAGTCTTTCGTTTGGTTGCTACGTTCCCACCTCACACTCCATCTGAAGCGAAAATCTGCATTACTCACTCATTCTCCTTCCCCAATCAGGCTCTTTCCCTCTCTGACTCGCTCACCTGTTTCGTGATAAACCGCTCATCCTCCTCATACCCACACACACCATCCTCCACTTCCTCCTCTTCCTCCCCTCCCTCCCCCTCCACTCCATCCGCCTTCTTCTCCTCCCGCTTCCCTGCCAGCACCCGCACAGCAGCGGCAGATACCACCTCCACCTCCAGCCGCAGCTCTTCATCCGCAGGCACGCCTGGGGGAGGCTTTATCTGGCAGTCAGGGTCGCTGTAGTGGGCTGAAGGCTCTGCTTTGAACTGCAAATGAGTGAGAGACCCGGGGAAGATGGGGCAGGACAGGAAATGAACGGGGAGGAGGGGGAGGAGAGGAAGGGGGAGGGGGGATTTTTGAGTGGACTCACGACCTCTTTCCTCCCTGCCAGCCAGCACCCGCACAGCAGCGGCAGATACCACCTCCACCTCCAGCTGCAGCTCCTCGTCTGCAGGCACGCCTGGGGGAGGCTTTATCTGGCAGGAGGGATCGCTGTAGTGGGCTGAGGGCTCTGCATTGAACTGCGAAGAAGGAGGGATTCAGGGATGATGTGAAGGAACAGGAGATGATTGGGGAGGAGGGGGAGGAGGGGGAGGAGGGGGAGGAGGGGGAGGAGGGGGAGGAGGGGGAGGAAGGGAAGGGATTAAGGAACGTCACCACTGCCACCTCGCCTTCCCGCATGGTGCACAGCCCGTGCTCCAATGCTGCCGCCAGGTACATACATTCGAGTTGCCACCAGCTCGACATTGAAGGGAGTGGAAAGTCAACTCAAGAATATGCAGTCAGGAATCTCACCACTGCCACCTCGCCTTCCCGCATGGTGCACAGCCCGTGCTCCAATGCTGCCACCAGCCGGCTCTCCCCCACCACCACTCGCCGCGGCCGCCCCGACCCTGCTCACACAAGCAGTCACGGGAGCAGGTGTAAGTGGGCGACGAATGGGCAAAAATGGTATTACTCGGCGTAACGGGCGTAGGTAGTCATAGGTAATCACGATTCACACCCCATGCCATATCTCCCACTGCATGCCAAACCTCACACCCCATCCTAAACTCACACCCCATGCCAAACCTCACACCCCATGACATAGCTCATACCGTGCCATATCGTGCCATCCCTCAAACTCCAAGCCATATGTCATACCCCTGCCATACCGTACACCCCATGCAATACCTCACACCTCACGCCGTACCTCCGTGTTCGGCTCGGGTGGAATCACATATGTGGCCCGAAGCTGCACGAGTGGTGCAGTGGAAAACCACCTGGAGGGTGGTGCGGGGACGAGGGATGGGGATTCAAGAGGGGAAAGGGGGTGGAGGGGGGGGGAAAGAGGAGGAGAATCGCTAAAATATTGGTGACACATGAAAGTACGTCAAAATTGCTGACCAGGACACGGCGGGTGGTGCGGGGGAAGAGAGGATGGTGAGGGGGGGGGAAGGGGGGAGGAAATGATGGTCGGAACAAGATGGGTGGGGAGGGAAAGCATAAGCATGGTGAGTGGTGCAGTGGACAACGGAATGATGGGAGAAACGGGTGGTGAGGAGGATTGGTATTTGATGGTGTCCTCTTTTCACAGAAGTCCCCATCCGTTGCAAATTACCGCCTTCATCACACCCTAAATATAGCCACGTGATAACAAGTTGGTTTCTAGACGTCTCAGACTTGGTCACGAATTACCGCCATCATCACCCGCGAAATAAATTAGGCGCCTGAATTGGAATCACTGGCTTCATCACTCCCGCCAGCTGCTTCCCTCACCTTACGTGACGCTCCCCCCTGTACGCTCCTCTCACCGCCAATACTATTATTCGCGAATCACTGATTCAGGTTACCTGGTGACCGTCCTCCACCGGCAATCCTGATCCTTCGCGAATCACCGCCTTCATCACCCCTTTCAGCTCCTTCTTCGCTTTCTCCTTCCCGCCTTTCTTCGTCGCGCCGCGCCTCCCCCTCCCGCCAACGCCACTCCCATCCATCGTTCCGTGTAGGTCGATTCGGTAACGCCTGCGATACTCGAATGGCTTCTGTGACCACGTCGCAACACGTCTAATGACAATCTTGGTCGCGACGTCGGCACGAATGGCGAATCTACTTTCAGCCCTATTCGCGACGCTTCAATTGTGAAATGGCCTCTGTTAGCACGTCGGATTGAACCGTGATCACGTCAATCGATTCTCAGCGGTCTACCTTTGATTCAGATTCAGCGGTCTCCCATCATTATTGACTCATTTCTAAGAGGCGCAACAGAATCAAAGGCCCACGCAAAAGCCTGAAGTGAAGTGCACCAAGAGATTGCTTATTACCGCTTTGAAACGCAACAGACCAGGCACAACCGTGAATCGTGAAGTGAAAACTAATCCCGTGGACCAGGGGCAACACCCGTCACTGACGAGAGCAAATCAAGATTTGGCAGGGTGACGACGACAACCAATCGTTGATCAATCCGGGCGCGCGAAAATTACAAGCAAAACGAAGTAAAGCAGGACGCTGACATCTCGGGAGTTTCGAGAAATTTAGAAGGTGACGTGACGTCAGAGTGACAATTACAAGAACCACTGGCATTCTCGCTACAAACAGGTAAGCGAATCTTGTGAGATGTACACCAACTAAAGCCATCTGCATTCTAGTTGTAAGCCATGGAGATTATGCTTAACTGTGAGCTTTACACGTCCACTTGCAATATAAGGGACCATGCATGGCAAACAAAAAGCTAGGCAGAGCCAACTGGGTGATAACGGTGACAAGGCATGGCAGGGCTGTTGGCTAGGCTGGCTAAATGATACCAGTCACCCTGCTTCGGCATCATGGACTGACAGCATCTCATTATCAGATGGAGCCATTTTCAGCTTAGTAGAAGAAGCCGAGCACCTTGCCTCCCACGTTCTTCCGCCTGGCCTCATCGTGGTCCATGATGCCGCTCGACGTGGTGAGCACAATGTAACCAAACTGGTAACACGGGAAAGAAACAAGAACCACAGGGACAAAAAAAGTACGGCAATGAACAATGGAAAAGCACCAGGAAGAAAACAGCAACTGGGAACTTAGGACACCCATGCTGAGGCTCCCAACCTGCTCCACTGCCAGCAATGCTGCAAACCCATCAACACTCGGTTGCAGTCACACCCCCCTCCATACCCTCTCCATCTGTTACCCCGCCCAACCAACCACCCCACCCGCCTCCTTATCCACCCCCGGCGCCCTGCGAGAATACAAGCAGCTTCTTCAGTTACCAATCTCTCTCGCCAACACCACGGGAAACGCTCGACGTGTTGCTTGCACTACGCACTAAATACCCACTCCTGGCGTGATGGGGCACACGGGCTTGTTCTTTCCCCCCACCTCCCCTCACCCACCCCTTCCCCCTTTCCCCACTACTGCGTGTACAGCCTATGACATGCTGCACTACCTCCCTCGAGTTGCATGACCTACCTTACCAATGCTGACACTACCGTACAGTCGTTACACAACCCCACCCACTCAAGTTGCAATACTCACCTGACGGGACGGCAGAAGGCGCTCGGTCCAGTTCTCGATATCGGCGACAGCGATATCGTAACGCGGGCTGATCACGCCGCACTTGTTCAGCCGCCCGTTCAGCTCCACGACAATCTTGCCCGCCCGCCTGTCGTCCACCAGCTCGAACTCGCCGATGTAACCTGGTAACCAGCATTCCACGACAAGGGGACAAGATGCACAGGGGAGGTAACTGAGAGTAGGCTCAAGAATCTTGGGCTTCAGTACACCATCTCACCATCTCCTTGCCAAACAAGTAACTAGAATCAAACTAAGCCTGCTAGTAGAACGACAGGGCTGGTCCTGTCGTAGAAAGCGACAAGGTTTTGGAACGAGTGCGCGCGGCTCTGGAGAATACCAACGCGATCGAGGCGTCTCGCACGGCGCGATTTGCGCTAGCGGGATGAGCTGCGGGATCTACAAATGCTGTCTAAGCCTCGAGTGATCAACCTACCCTAACGAGCCAATCCCTAGAAAAAGTCCTGAAAGAGCCTAACGAGCAGCTACTTCGAGGAAAGGAACTAGCGACATTGCGTCCTCGCTGCTGGATGGATGTGCAACGGCCCTGATCGGTGGTCATTCATCGGCTCGGTACAACGGGCCATCGTTTCTCAGGCGCCTCTATGATCGGCTGGCAACAACGGGCTACCCTGGTCTGTACGAACCACTGCTTCTTGTCCTGACAAAGAGCGTTACTAATCTGGTAGTATCTTATGCGGAATCTGATTTCCTGCCTTGAGCCCGACTACTGTGTTAAAAAACCCCTCTCTATCGTGAACCACGCAAGACAACCGTCACGAATTCCTCGGAAAGATAACCGGGACCGCGCCGGGAACGAGGGACGACTGCTGCCTACAGCTCGCTCTTCGCCGGATGAAAACGTCTCGCTCAGACAGACATCGATGATCGACGGCGCCTTGACCAAACGGCTATCGATGATGTGCAGGACGATCGGAACGGAAATGTTAGGTTTTAATGTTTCATGAAGAAATGACGACCTTGAAAAACGGGAAAAGAGGAGTAAAGACGAAAGTATAAGCCATAAAACACGACGATTGCAGCACCTCAACTAAGGACGTGCGAGCGAGCGCGTACGCACGGTGTCGCTGCATGACGAATTTCAGCGAAGCATTACGAGCAAGCAAGCACGAACGCACCCACACGCACGCACGTAAGCACGCACACACCCACCCGCACGCACGCACGCACGCACGCACCGTGTCGCTGCATGACGGTGAGGAACTTGATGATGACCTTGGAGCTGGGGCGGATCAGCACCTGCCGCTTCCCGCGCTTCTCCGCGTTGTACATGCTCTTGAGCGCATCGTTAAGAACGCTAATTCTGACCATCTTGACTAATTGGCTCCTTGTCTAAGCAAGGCAGGGAGAGGCAGGCGCGGCGCAAATGCGGCTCCTGAGGGGCGAGGAAAGGAAGAGCAGGAAAGAGAGAAAGTGAGCAGCGAGGAGGAAATATGAATTAGGGTTTGGGCGGGATTAGCAGCGAGAGGCAGGAGAAGACGGGAAGCGGGGGGGGGAAGGTGGGGGATGGCGCGGGGAGGCTGTGCGGGGTGGGGAGGGATGGCCCATGGGGAAGGGGGCAGGGCGCGGAGATGGGATGGACCCGGAAGAGGAAAAGCCCCCACAGAGGTGAAACCACACAGCGCGATCGGACGGACCCTGTTTGATCTAGTCTATTTCGTACACCCTATTCTTTGAGTCGTTTCTACTGGTACATGTGCAAATTTATCAGCTCCATAAATCACTTCAAAATTCTACATGAAGAAAAATGTGAACTACTCTTTAGCAATTATTCTAACTCAGCTATGCTCCATCCAAAACGATACCTATCTTATACACCCCATCCTACAGTGCGCCTACCATTATTGCTTTATTATAAATAAACAGTGAAGTGTATTGCTGAGCACATGGTTAAGCATCTCCATCAGCAGCAGCGTCCGAATCTGCGTCCCCATACTGAGACCTCACCCAACCAACAAACGCATTCAGAAACTCTACAAATGTGCACACACCGTTGGAATCCCGGTCCATCTCCTCTGAAAAATAAAAGCAGAAAGTAACAAAGGAAAACAAAGACGCATTCGTTAGTTTGCTGCTGTATGGTGGAGCATCGGGAAGGAGATTGGGAAGAAAAAAACAGTGGAAGCAAGACAGACAAAGCCAACCAACTAACAAACAGAGACGCAAAGTTTGAGCAAGAACGTACGCATGCGCATAGAGATGTTGCGGAGCAGCGTGCCCTCCTTGAGAGTGTTGTGGCTGCTGAAACCCTTCTCAATCTCCGCCCGCGTGAGCTGCCCGTCGTGGTCCTCGTCAAAATAAATGAACGCATCCACGATTATTTGAAAGGCCGCGTTGATGTCTCCTGTGCCAAGGCGTGGTTTCTGCTATAAGGAGAAGAATGGGTGGACCATGGATGGGAGGAAAAAGGCAGGAGACACTGTCAGATACAAAAGAATGAGATGCCTGAGGCGCCTCAGAAATCGCCGCTTCTGTGGAGTGGACGGGAGGGGAAGGTGGGAGACACTGTCAAGTACGAGATATTGCCAATGAGAGGGAGTGTGAGGTAGGAAAATAGTCAGAGGTAAGGAGATAGCAGAGTGAGGTTGTATACTACGAGGGAAGTGGGTAGTCTGTTGGAGAGTGGATAACTTTGGAAGCAAGACGAGAGAGGTTGATCAGTGTACAGAACAAACCCACACGACCACCTCGAAATAAATTCATTCATGGCAATGACCCCAACCAGTAATTTGACATCCGTGCAAAGTGTCTGCACGCGCGCACACATGCACAAATATACACATTTATCCAAACATGCACACATACACACACATATATGCACACATGCACACATACAGCCATGCACATATGCACAGATGCACACATACACACATGTACATGCATACATACACACATGCATGAACACACACACATGCACACATGTACACATACACACAAGAGTCCTCCCCATTCTCCAACCCACCCTCACTCACTCACACACTCAACCCCCCAAACCCCCCAAACCCCCCCTTTTTCCCACCCTCACTCCCTCACACACCTGCTCGCTATCAGCTGATTCCAGCATGAACACGATGCCCAGGCACAGCACGAACGATCCCCACCCCCCCCACCCCCCGCTTCCCCTATGCACATGCACACACACCTGCTCGCTATCAGCCGACTCGAGCAGGAACACAGTTCCCAGGCACAGCACGAACGCATTGAAGCACACCACCGTCGCCTCCTCTGTTGGAACAGCATCTGACCCTTCACTGTACGAAGGGTCAAACTCCGTCTGCTCGAATATGGCCTTCAACTCCTCTTCACTCACTGTCACCTGCGATTGGCAGAGATTGATGGAAGCGTGAAACGAAAATGCATCAGAAACGTATGTATGCAAGCACATTGTAAGCTGTATCTACACTCGTTCAGTAACTGTCACAGGGTTATATATGGAAGCAAGGTGATGCTTGAGTTGCCGGCCTCACACACCCACCTCATACACCACCTCATACACCACCTCACACACCCACCTCATACACCCACCTCAAACACCACCTCATACAGCACGTCTCACAAACGTGTGTTACAGTTGCTCATACGGTGTGCCTTAAGCGTCGACTCTATACACGTTCTGCCTGAACGCACCTCCAGCTGAGCGAGTGCGGTCTTCAACTCGTCCAACGACATGCCTTCCCTGCCCTCGGGCACTGCACACGCAACGCGAGGCGGTGGGACGCAGATGATGGAGAGAATGGGGATGGGAGGGAGACGACGGGGATCAGCGAGATGATGGACGTTGAGGCAGGTGACGGAAGGTGAACAAGTGAGCAGAAAGAAATAAGAGGTGACCAGGGAGGAGAGGATGAGAGCAAAGCGCTGCGCTGCTAGCTGTTGGCTCGCGATATATTGTTAAAAAAAATAAACGAATTAGTGTACAAACGCCCAAGCGTCCATCTGAGTTCACGCTGACAACCCTGTATGAACGAATCCGAATCGACCTCTAACTTGTTAAATTCGAATCGGAGCTCCAACCAATAACATCTCCACGAGAGCTACACGATCTGCGCCGGTGCGACGGAACATCGAAACCACGGGATGCAATGTGAAGCTAGCAGTTAGGTTTTTTTTTCTACTAGCCGAGACTTCTAGAGCCGCGTCTCAAGCGGAATGCTTCAAGCCTCAGGCGCCTGATGAGCCGGCTGCTTCTATTGCGTCTGATGCTTCTAATGCATTTTACGCTTCCAATGCGACTGATGCTTCTAATGCGCCTGACGCGCTTACCGATTTTGTCGTACACCTCTCGGAGCAGCTCGAGCCACGCATTGATCCTCGGGAACTTGAGCACTTTTGAGTCGACTCAAAAGCACCATGCTGCTCAAAAGTCACGTTAATCCTGATGCTCACCGATTTTGTCGTACACCTCTCGGAGCAGCTCGAGCCCCGCGTTGATCCTCGGGAACTTGAGCACGAACGCGTCGAAGTTCTTCGGAACCTTCTTCACCGTCTTGTGTCGCGCCGCTAACGCGTCCGTCATCCGCTTCTCCAGCCGCGCCGTCGATCGCGCCGAGTTCGACATGCTGACGTGGCGGAAAGTGTGTTCCGGACGGGGATCGGGGACGTCGCGTCGCGAAGCGTGGCGTGAAAAGCACACAGTAGTGTTCAGAAGTTCCTTTTAGGACGCTAAAAAGGACTAACAACCACACGTTTTGAAATGGAACGGAATAAAAGGGTACGTTATCGCGCGAATAACGATAACAATAAGTAACGGACGACGGCGACCGTTCAGCCAGCCAAATTTGCGACCTCCTGATTAGTCCGTAATCACTCAACACTTCAATACCAGCACGTCCGTGAATCCCCGTGCAGACCAATAATGCACCGCCAGAGACACCCGTTATGCTGTCACCTCGCCTACGCAGCGGAGCTCGTTGCACGCTGCGACGGCTTTAGAGGTTGAAGCTCCTCGAAGCTGTAGGTGCTGCTGCGGTTCTAGTCTAGTTTCTGCTGTAGATGTTGCTTGGAGTAGCACCAAGGGTGCTCTTAGGTTGTGTGGTTCCTAATGCCCCCCACAATAGTAGTTCACTAGAAAGCGGTCAGGTAGGGTTCGTCTGGCACGCAAAGCGTTTTGTATACATTCTAGAACAGTCGAGCAGGTGAACTGATGAATGATGGGTTTCTATGGGTATTGCATTCCGGGGCCTATCTGGCTGGGAATAAGCGAGATGCTGTTTTCTGTCACCATGGAAAGTCTATGTTTTGGGTCAACTCTGGTTTTGAAAGGCTGGATTGATCCGACACCAGAGCCGAAGCAGTCTTTTTAGGATTGTTCGGATTCGGTGTGCCAGCTGGCATAGGCTGTGCAAGTCCAGCCAGATTCAGGAAGCGACTGCGACTCAAACTTACGAGCGATTTGTTTTGTGGGAAGAATCCGCTCTTGCGATAGGTGTCCCGGGTAATTAGGCTGAACCAGAGTTCGTGTCCGCAAACCAAACCTGGTGACCTGTCCTTCGCAGCTACAGTAGTGGGAGGAAGGGCAGCACACTCACACATCATACTCGCTATTGGTCTGCTCAAGGATATCAAGCACAGTGTGCCAAGTCGTCTATTCCGATACATATGGTTCTCATTCTGAATACCTAAATTATTCAGACCTTATTGCGGCCATGTAGGAACTATGATCACTTTAAATTTTTATTTACACGTTTATAGGTTTTCTGTAATTAGTTTCACAAGCACTGTAGTTGTTGCAAAGTTTCTTGGTGCATGTATAGATGCAATTCAACGTTAACACTTTCGTAATGAGTTGAGGAGCAGCTGCTTACCGCAGCCAAACTCTAAAGAGTCCACTAGACAGATTCCTACAAATTTTGATCTTCTGACAGATTTGACTGCTGATTGATGCAAGAGCGCGGTCAGTGAGCGTCTAAGCGAACTGGTGATCTGGAAAGCGTGTGGTGACGAAGATTCCGCCAATCCGCTCGTACTTCCTGCGTTACGAATAAGATTGCGCCGCTCGGCTAGTTGCGCCGATCTTCGTACGAATGGCATGCCGGTCATGATGTAGACATGAATCTTCATCCTTATCCGCGTTATAAGCAGGCGGACGCGCTGGACAATTGCCGACGACCACTGACGGTGCCATCAGAGCAATGACTCGGCTAGAATAATCAACCAACCGGAACATTCTACTCTGTTTCCACCATGGCCAGCTGTACTCGCATACTCCAAAGCCGCCAATCGGTTCGAACCAGTCGTGTCGCAGTCAACGCTGTCAACGCAAGCCTCCTGCTTGTAGTATGCATCTCCCTCTCCGTCCTGACCGCGTCGAGCGCCGCCGTACACGGACACGGATACGAGCGGGTACACGTGGCGCATGCGCGGCTGAGAGGCTCGGCAGCAGCGTTGGAAGGGTGGCAGGTGGACGCTTCCCGCGTCGTACAGATCTCCACCCAGCCCAGGTAGGTTGCTCCGTACGGCCTCGGTAGGTTGGCAGGCTGACCCCGGCAGCGTTCAATGGAGCGGCAGCGTTGGGGTGGCAGCTGGACCCTCTCCGCATCGTGCAGATTTCCACGCAGCCCCGGTGGTAGGTTGCGTACACGGACAAGGATACCGTACACGTGGCGCACAAACGGCTCAGAGTCTCGGCAGCGTTCTATGAAGCAGCAGCGTTGGGGTGGCAGGTGGACCCTGCCAGGGTGGTGCAGATCTCCACGCAGCCTCGGTAGGTCGTTTGGCACCGCCTGAGGGTGGGTGGGCTTCTCCTCTATTCCCTCCAGCGTAGGAGGGGTGGCAGGGACCCTGCCAGGGTGGTGCAGATCTCCACGCGGCCTCGGTAGGTCTCTTCCCACCGCCTCAGTAGGTTGGCAGGTTGACCCTGGCAGGGTGTGATGGAGCAGCAGCAGCGTTGGGGTGGCAGGGACCCTGCCAGGGTGGTGCAAATCTCCACGCAGCCTCGGTAGGTCGTTTGGCACCGCCTGAGGGTGGGTGGGCTTCTCCTCTATTCCCTCCAGCTTAAGAGGGGTGGCAGGGACCCTGCCAGGGTGGTGCAGGACTCCACGCAGCCTCGGTAAGTGGCTTGGTTTCCCACCGCCTGGGGACTTTTTAGGGCGTATATCCACTTCGGGTCATGGCACTGTTTGGGTCATCCGAGATTCTTGGACGACCAATAATGCGCATTTTTGCTACTCTACTGGAATATCATTGGTCCCCTCATGACCCAAAGTGTACAGTGATGACCCAAACAGTGCCATGACCCGAAGTGAAGAGACGCCCTTAGTCAACTCATAAGGCGGCATCGGAGGGGTGGCTTTTGAGAATCCTCAAAAGCTTCCCACCGCCTGGGAGACTTTCTAGTCCTCTCAAAAGGCGGCATTGGAGGGGTGGCAGGTTGACCCTTCCCGGGTCGCGCAGATTCCCACGCAGCCCCGGTAGGTCGCTTTTTGAGACATCTAAAAAAAACTATGGAGCAGCGGCATTGGAGGGGTGGCAGGTTGAGCCTTCCCGGGTCATGCAGATCTCCACGCAGCCCCGGTAGGCCTGGATATCGCAGCCCCGGTAGGCCTGGATATCGCAGCCCCAGGCGGTGATAGGTCCTTTCCTTTCCCACCGCCTCCAAGTGTTATCGCATCTGAGCATCCAAGTGTCCCCGGTAGGTCTGAGCTTCCGCTCCTTTCTTCCCTTGCCCGTCCCCCCTTTCCCACAGCTTCCCCTTCTTCCCTCCCTTCCCCTCCCCCCGGCAGAGCGTTCGTGTACCACGGATTCCTCTCCCATGCGGAGTGTGATCACCTCGTCACACTGGTATGGCCTCCCTCCCTCCCCTTTCGTCCCTCCCGTGTGATGATTCTGTTTTTGAGTCGACTCAAAAACCTCCTCTCGCATGCGTAGTGTGACCACCTAATTGCACTGCTATGGCCTCCCTCCCTCCCCTTTCGTCCCCACCACTTCTCCCTCTCACATCCGCACAATGCTAATTTGCCTGTGTGGTTCTGCTCCACCCATGCTCCCATGCACCCATGCTCCCATGCACCCATGCTCCCATCCCATGCTCCCATGCTCCCATGCACCCATGCTCCCATGCTCCCATGCTCCCATGCACCCATGCTCCCATGCACCCATGCTCCCATGCGCCCATGCTCCCATGCTCCCATGCACCCATGCTCCCATGCACCCATGCTCCCATGCTCCCATGCTCCCATGCTCCCATGCACCCATGCTCCCATGCTCCCATGCTCCCATGCTCCCATGCACCCATGCTCCCATGCACCCATGCTCCCATGCTCCCATGCTCCCATGCTCCCATGCACCCATGCTCCCATGCTCCCATGCTCCCATGCTCCCATACACCCATGCTCCCATGCTCCCATGCACCGATGCTCCCATGCACCCATGCTCCCATGCACCCATGCTCCCATGCTCCCATGCTCCCATGCACCCATGCTTTCATGCTCCCATGCTCCCATGCACCCATGCTCCCATGCACCCATGCTCCCATGCACCCATGCTCCCATGCACCCATGCACCCATGCACCCATGCTCCCATGCTCCCATGCTCCCATGCTCCCATGCACCCATGCTCCCATGCACCCATGCACCCATGCTCCCATGCTCCCATGCTCCCATGCACCCATGCTCCCATGCACCCATGCACCCATGCTCCCATGCTCCCATGCTCCCATGCTCCCATGCTCCCATGCTCCCATGCTCCCATGCTCCCATGCTCCCATGCTCCCACGCACAGCACGCTATCCCCCCCTTTCCATACGCCGCCCCCCCTCCATACAGTTCGTCCTTGCATGCTGCCTTCCCCTCCTCGCCTCTCCCCGCCTCCCCCAATCCCAGCCCATGCAGATCCGCCCAGCCACACAAGCCACCCCACCTTTCGCATGCACACTGCTCGTTCTGCCTGACTCTCTCTGATTTTGAGGCGCCTCAAAAGCCTTCCGCATGCACAATGCTCAGTTTCCCTGTCTCTCTCCCGCATGCTGCTTCCTCCTCCTCCGTCGCTCCCCGCCTCTCCCAGTCCCAACCCAAGCTGCTCAGCCCAGGCACGCACGCCAACGCCAAATATTTTATGACGCCTACATATATCCTCCTTTTGAGGCGCCTCAAAAGCCAATGACACATATTTTCCGACGCACAAAATTATATTCCCTCCTTGCACGCTGCCTCCCTCCCCCTGCCTCCCCCTCCCGCGTCTTGCCCCGTTGCCCACAGTCCCAAAACAAGCTGCTCTGCCCAGGCACGCCAGCCAACGGCACCTTCCTCCGGAAATATCAGGTGAGCTGTGCGGTGTGGTGCGGTGCGGTGCGGTGTGGTGCGTTGTAGCGCGGTGTGCGAGGGGAGGGGAAGGAATGCGCGGTTGCGGGATACCATATGAGTGATTGATATGGTGCGATTCTGTTAATTATAAGAAAGTAAAAAGTACACGCCTTGAGAGAGGTGAACAAGTTAGGGGCTTCAGGTGGTTGTTGAGAGATTTAGGAAATCACCAGCATCACCAAGGAACTTTTGAGTCGACTCAAAACTAGGAAATTCCCAAAAACCACTTGATGATCATCCATGCCCATGCCCAGCGAGGCGCGTGATGCTGTAAAAGAGTGTCAGGCTGTTGAGTGTGTACAGTGGTTTTCAGCTTCGTGCGGTGTAAGTAGGAAATTGGAAAAATACATCCTTTCCAAGGATGACAGTAAGGTTGGGGTATTCCGAGAATTGAACTCGGGACCTCTCGCACCCTAAGCGAGAATCATGCCACTAGACCAAACACCCACATCCATGCCCAAGCTCTCACTCACTCACTATGCCCTCCCCCATGCCCACCCACCCCCATGCCCATGACACCCTCACCAGGACGAGCGGGTGAGGGCTATTGAAGACCGCATTTCATCGTGGCTCTTCCTCCCGCGCAGTAAGCCAAGAGAAGTGCTCCATTTTTTACCTATTCAAACGTTGCCTTTTCAACATGTCAGACCATCACCTATCAAAAGTTATTTTCACCTTGCCACAAAACACTCACTGCTGTCCCCCTATTCCCAACAAGGTGATTTTTTTTAGTCGACTCAGAAAAACACTCACTGCTTTCCCCCTATTTCCAACAAGAGCAGGTAGAAGCAGCCAACCCCCTCCCTCCCACCACCCCACGGTTTCCGGCTGCTCCCCCCCCCCCTCCTCTCCCACTCTGTCTCAGATCCCACGGACCCCCAGCTGATGCAGTCACTGCTCTCCCAGTCCCTTATTCCTTGCGCTCCCCTCCGCCCACATCCTCTCAGAGCCAACCCAACCTCAGTTAAAGCGGTACAACATTAACACGGGGCAGCAGTTGGACGTGCATTTCGACTACTTCCAACACAAGGATGATCGGAGGACTTGCAGGTGCTGCACCTGCTTCATCGATTCAATAGCTTAATTTCCGTCCCCCCACTCCTTCCACCTCAGAGCCCACGGAGCCTCAATTGATGCGCTACAACACGGGGCAGCAGTTTGACGTGCCAGCATTACGACTCTCTGTTTCCCACCCCACTCGCCCCCTTCCACCCGCGCCTCCCTTCTCAGAGCCCACGGAGCCCCAGCTAATGCGCTACAACGCGGGGCAGCAGTTTGACGTGCATTTCGACTACTTCCAACACAAGGAGGACCGCCAGATGCTGCACCGACTCATTAGCTTCACTTCCTTCCCCACACTCCCTCCACGTCAGAGCCCACGGACCCTCAGCTGATGCGGTATAATACAGGCCAGGAGTTCGACGTGCATTACGACTACTTCCAACACAAGGAGGACCGGCAGGTGCTGCACCGGGCGGCAACCCTCGTCCTCTTCCTCTCGGACGTGGAGCGGGGCGGCGAAGTCACTTTCCCCAACGGCAAGGTTTGTCGGCACTTTCTGCCCACACAGAAGCCATGCCCCCACCCATGCCCTGTGCTCCCACCCCTTTCCCTCGCTCTCTTTTCCCCCCTCATCCTCCCCTGTCAACCCCACCCCTTTACCCCCTTTGTTTTCCAAATTTGTTAACACATTCTTTTTCTTTTCCCCCCATTGTTTCCGGTCCCTTAGTTTGCCTCTTTTTCCTCCCTTGCGTTTCTCAACTCTTCTCCATACTTCTCCTCACAAAAGCAATCCCGACAGTCGTGTACGTTGCTGTGCACTTAGCACTACCTCTCCTCCTCTTTGCTGTGGTGGGCTCTCCAGAAGTCCCAAGCCGATTGTTGAGGATTTTTCTTTCGCTACTCCTTTCTGCACTATTCTCTCTGCACCGCACTGCACTCCCCGTTACTCCTTTCACCAGTTATTTTCTTGCTTTGATCATTCCTTTGCCCTCCTCCCTCTGCACGCCTCCTCCTCTCCCCTTCCGCTGCTCCACCTCTTCCCCCCATGCGGCACTGCCAGCCTGAGCGCGAGCAGGACTTTGGGCCCATCTCAGACTGTGCTAAAGGCCGCAATAGTCTTTTTGCGCCTCACTGCACCTCACTGCACCTCATTGCACCTCATCCCCCCCCCCCTGCCAGCCTGAGCGCGAGCAGGACTTTGGGCCTGTCTCAGGCTGTGCTAAAGGCCGCATTGCAGGTGAGGAGGAGGGGGGAGGGGTGAGCAGGAAATGGGGCGAAGGGGGGATGAGGTGAGGGGGGAATGAGATGAGAGGGGGATGAGGTAAGAGGGGGATGAGTGCAGAGCAGAGCAAGGTGGGTGTTTCCACGACCTTGCTCTGCTCTGCACTGCTCCCACCTTGGTGGAAACACCCACCTTGCTCAAGGTGGGCTGTGCTCAAGTCTGACTCGCTCGACTCGTCTGCGCCCCTGTCACCTGTGTTCTTTCCTCCATCATCTCTTCCCCCCTCCTCCTCCCCCTCACCCCCCCAGTGCGCCCGCGCAAGGGCAATGCGCTGCTCTACTTCCACCTCTCTCCCAACGGCTACAGCGAGCCCAGTGCCTTCCGGGAGGATTGCCCTGTTCTTCCTCCCCCTAATTCCAAACCCACTGTGGGGACCGGCTTGCGGGGGCTCTTTAGGGGGATGAGGGGCGGCAGTGGGAGCGATGGCAGTGCTGGTGCGGGCGGCAGCACGGGCGGCGGTGCGGGCGGCAGTGCAGGCGGCAGTGTGGGCGGCAGTGCGGGCGGCAGGCTGGAAGCGAAGTGGACGGCGGAGAAGTGGGTGCACATGTTCAAGTACATGACGCGGCGGAGCCTTTTGGACTGTACTGACGAGCACCCCAACTGCGGCATGTGGGCGGCGGGCGGCGAGTGTAAGCGCAACCCCGGGTACATGGTCGGTGAAGGCGGGTATGTTGGGAACTGTCGCAAGTCGTGTAAAGCTTGTAGCGATTGATGCGAGCTGGTAACAGGCACTTGGGCCGGTGGAAGGAAAGTGGAGGGATGAATAGGGGAGGTAGGTAGGAGAAGAGGAAGGGGGTGACGCGGGGCCGGTGATTCTGAAGCATAGAGAAACAACGACTAGCATAAGGGGTTGATGCTATTTTGTTGGGCATAAGTTGTAGTACCTTGAGTGCTGCTTGATAAATGGTGGATGCATGTGCATCCATAGTTCTTTGAAGCAGATGAGGAGGCTGTGTATTTACTCGCCCGAGAACATACCGGTACATATACCGTATGCAGTCGCTGTATGGTTCATAAGAATTTTGGAGGCATGTTTAAAGCTGTCGCCTACATACTTCCTGCGGGAGGACCAGGTTGTGAAAATGAGAACGAGAATGGATGAACTATGAAATGAAGTGAGTACAAATATGAAACCCTAATTGGTTGTACCCCCTATGGGATACCCCACTATAGCCTACATAACAGCATAAGCTACAATGTTCTGACACACCCCCATAGGCAAAGTGGGGGAGAACAAGGGGTCACAAGACCAGTCAAGCAAAGCAAAGCAAAGGAAAGCTCAGGGTGGATCACAAAGTCACCACACAGTCCGAGCACAGGGTCAAGGCCACACGGCCAGTTCACATGCAAGAGTACACACATATATATATAAAGCTAGACAAGCAAGAGCAGGTATATATATATGTGAGACTACAAGCAAGGTCAAGAGGAGAGCAAGTGAGGCAAGACGGGCACAAGACCCAGCTGAGTGCAGAAGCGCTGATGATCACAAGGCGGAAGTGCCTTGGTGAAGACATCAGCAGTGTTGGCCTCAGAGGCCACGTACGCAAGCCGCAACTGAACACGTTGCTGTAGCTCACGAGCAAGGAAGTAGCGGAGAGCAATGTGCTTTGTTCTGTGCTCCAGTCGCTGCTCTCGACACAAGGCCAGCATGGCCTTGTTGTCTACGTACAGGACTGGAGGAGAACGAGGCGGCTCTCCAAGGTCGGTCAGCAGGTAGGTGAGCCAGCGAAGCTCCTGTGCAGCCATGGCCCCGGCGTAGATCTCAGCCTCACAACTCGAGCCAAGAACAGAAGACGAGCGAGTAGCCCGCCACGAAACAGAGCCGGAACCAAGGCTGAAGGTGTAACCCTGTGACGACCGCTGCGTAGCCTGGTCGTCAGCCCAAGAAGCGTCCGCGTGCCCAGTGAGGACCACTGGACTCCGCCCTCCAAGCACTAGCCCCATGCCCGACGTACTGCACAAGTAGCGCAACACCCTCTTCGCTGCAGCCATGTGCTCTGGTCTATGTCTCCCAGGAGCAACATAGCGTGCAAGAATGCTAAGAGGGTATGCAAGGTCAGGTCGTGTGCAGGTCATCAGGTACATGAGGCAGCCAACAAGCTCTGGGTACGGGCCACTCGACTCTACGGACTCATCCGAAGGCAGAGCTGAGAGCGAGTGGCGAGTAGACAGAGGAGTGGCCTGAGGCGAGGAGTACGTGAAGCCGAAGCGCTGAAGGACCTGCTGCACCATGTGTGACTGAGTCAGGGTAATGGTGCGGCGTGCTCTGTCCCGGGTGATCTGCAAGCCAAGGTAGCTGCGCAGTTCACCCAGGTCTGTGCACGTGTGTCTCTTCTGCAGCTCGGACTTCACGTAGGCGAGTCCAGCAGTGTCAGCTGTGGCAAAGACCAAGTCGTCGACGTACACGAGGATGTAGAACGGCGGCAGAGAGGTGTCGGTGCGTAGAAACAGCGACGGGTCGGCAGTAGAAGGAGCAAACCCAAGAGCCGCAAGCGTAGTCCTCAGTGTGTCGTGCCACTCACGTGGCGCCTGGCGGAGACCGTAGACTGGACGCCGGAGACTCCACTGGGTACCCGGAGGGAAAGACCCAGTGAAGCCAGGTGGGCGACGCAGCCAGATCTCCTCGTGCAGGCTGCCCTGCAAGAAAGCTGTGCTGAAGTCAAGAGAGTGCAGCTCGTAGTCACGGTGAGCAGCAACGTGCAGCAGTACCCGAAGAGTGGTCATCTTTGGGGTGGGGGAGAAGGTCTGAAAGTAGTCAACTCCCTGCCGCTGACTGAAGCCACGAGCCACGTAACGCGCCTTGAAGACAGGCGGAGAACCCGGCGGCCGCTTCACCCTGAAGATCCACATGCCACTGACGATGTTCGCCCCAGGAGGGGGGACAGCGTCAACGTAGGTGCCTGTGGACTTCCAGGAAGCCATCTCTGCATCCATAGCTGCCTGCCACTGAGAGGAGTAGGGACCCTCTATCGCCTCCGCGTAAGAGCGCGGAGTCGGGATGTCAAGTGCATCCGGGTCTCCCTCAGGGGTAAGCAGTACGGACACGAGATGAGGTGAGGCAGCTGCCAGACACTGGAACTCCTCCTGCCTGTCCTCAAGGACGTCCGTGCCAAGGGCACACTCACCCCCGACGGACGGAGGACAGACAGACTCAGACTCAGCGACAAGACTAGCAGCGTAGTCTAAGCGACAGCGAGCAGCAAAGTCGACGAGCTCAGTAACGAGAGCAGACGCAGCAGTAGACTCGAAAGAAGGGTCAGTGACAACAGTAGCAAGGAGACGCGTGACAGTAGGACTGGCAGCACGAAGAGAGTCCGACTCCGGGTCGGCAAGAGCAGGAAGAGAGGACTCAAGAGGAGAAGGCAATGGGGCACGCAGAGGAGCAGTGGACGGACGCAGAGACATCCGGTGCGTGCCAGGGACAGGAGGAGGACGCTGACGCGAACCGCGACCACTAGTGCGAGCAGTACGGACAGGCGACGCAGGGCGAGACGCAGGCTCACGACGCTCAGCCAGACCTCCAGTAGGACCAGTGTAGGGAGAAGGAGCAGGCAAAGGGGAGGTAGGCTGCAACTGTAGCTGGGACGAGACAGGCTGTGGACACTCTAAGGGAGGAGGAGGACCAGTAGAAGGTGGAAGACCAAGAACCTGCTGCAGGAGTGGAACGAAGTACGGTCGAGGCCGCGCGGCGACGCTAGAAGCAGCAGGGACAGCACCAGAACCCTCAGCAGGAGCACCCGCTCCAGCAGCACCACCAGTAGCTCCAGAACCTCCAGCAGCACCAGGAGCACCCCCAGTAGGACTGCCAGCGGTAGTCTCAGCGCCAACACCCTCAGCAGCACCAGCTCCAGTGCACCCAGGACGAGCACCTCCGGGACCCGCGACCGCAGCACCCTCAGCAGCCGAAGGACCTCCAGCACTAGCAGCACGCCTCCAGCGCCGGGCAAACCACTCACGCAGCTCCTGTGGCGAAAGTGGCTCCCGGCGAGACGAAGCACTCGAAGAACCTCCAGGCGGAGCACCTCCAGGCTCAGCACCCCCAGGCGTAGCACCCCTAGGCTCAGCACCCCCAGACGTAGCACCCCTAGGCTCAGCACCCCCAGGCTCAGCACCCCTAGGCTCAGCACCCCCAGGCTCAGCACCCCCAGGCTCAGCACCCCCAGGCTCAGCACCCCTAGGCTCAGCACCCCCAGGCTCAGCACCCCTAGGCTCAGCACCCCTAGGCTCAGCACCCCCAGACGTAGCACCCCCAGGCCCAGCACCCCTAGGCTCCGCACCCCCAGGTACAGCACCCCCAGCCTCAGCACCCTCAGCAGCACCAGAGTCACCAGTGACCTCGACAGGCTCGACTGCGTCTACCTGGGACACACCTGAAGGGGCAGGACCCTGAGGGGGGAGGGGGTCTACCTGGGGGGGACCTGGTACCAGGAAGAGTGGGGGTGGGGGGAGGGACGGAGTGCGGTAGGGGAAGAGGCGGTAGTAGGGGACCGACTCGTCAAACGTGACGTCCTGGGAGGACAGAACACGGCGAGAGGTGGGGTGGTAAAACTGCCACCCAGGCGCGTCAGGGGGGAACCCCAGGAAGACGCAAGGAGCAGCACGAGGGGATAGTTTGTCCGCAGACAGGTCGCGGACAAACGCCCGAGATCCCCAGACCCGGAACGCCGACGCATCGCCAACCTTCCCGGTCCACAGCAAGGCTGGGGAGGTCTCCGGCCTGGAGACCCTGGGGTGGAGGTTGATCTGATGCGCCGCGTACCTCACCGCAAACGGCCACAGAAAATGGGGGGCAGCCGCATGCATCATAGACGTACGAGCGACGTCCATGACCATGCCAATGCGGCGCTCAGCAATCCCATTTTGCTGCGGTGAGTCCGGAAGCGTGAAGGTCTGACGGATGCCCCGTGCACGACAGTAGGCACGCAGAAGGCCAGAGGAGAACTCTCCGCCTCTGTCCGAGTGCAGACGCAGAACAGGAAAGTCCGAGCCGAAGCTCTGCCTGAGCTGGAGACGAGCTGCGCGGATCCAGTCGATCAGCACCTCAGTGACATCACCCTTGCTGCGCAAGGGGAAGACTGTGGTGTAACGCGAGTAGTCGTCAACAACGAGCAGGAAGTAGCGCTCGTGACCCTGTCCACGGACGCGGGCTGGGCCCCACACGTCCATGTGAAGTGTCTGCAACGGGGCCTCTGTCGAAGGAAACTGGGAGGAGTGAGGGGCAGCACGCTGGCGCCCCTCGACACAGGGGACACAGGCAGGGCCAGGGCCCTGAGGAAGGGGAGGGAGGGACCGGGGGAGACCGGACACAAGAAGACGGGAGGCCATACCTCTGAGCCGAAGCAGAGAGGGGTGGCCAAGGCGGTGGTGCCAGAGGAGAGTCTCGTGAGACAGGAGACGACACGAACAGGGGGCAGACTCAGGACCAGACCTGGACGCCGCAGCAAACACCTGACCCGACGTAACTACCCTACCAGACTCAGCAACTGGAGGAGACGCAGTGGTCAGAGTGTACAGGCTCGACCCCGGCTGACGGGTGAACGTAGCCAGGTGTCGGCCTGTGCCAGCCTCTGTACAGTGGGTCACTCGCTGACGTGCAGGAGTGAACTGGTGGACACCCGCATCCTGTAGGTCAGCACCACTCACCAGGTTCGTCGAGAACGAGGGGAGGTAGAGACCAGACAGGGTGCCAGAGGGAGCCGCCGGACACGG